ACATACGATCCCACATCACCACAACAATACGCACGAGCGTATCGCTTTCTTCCTGTCATCATTGACCAGAGACTGATGGGAAAAAGCATGAGTAGTGGATCGGCACCGAGAGACAAAGCTTGACAACACAACATTCGAGTCCATCGGCCCCCACAGCACATCACTTGATCACATGGTCAACTAGTCAGGCGAAAGGCGAATGGACCGACGCCTTCTAGATCTCCCACAACCGAGCCTCACGCGAGTCATCACGACCGAAAAGCCGCAGAGCCCCAAATGCCTCTCTTTCTCTTCACTACCACCACCTTCTCGACCCATCAATCCCCCAGCGATCCACTCCACAGAAGAAAGGCCTCTCCCCTCTCCACATGCAGCACCTCCCCTCCAAAGCCCAAAGCACCACCGTACATCAGCCATCGAAGCGGGCCTATAGTCCAGGCCCATCTTATACCCAATCCACGCCCGTCGGACCCGGCTCCGGGCCAGCATGTTTAATCCTAGTCAAAAATCTCGTTATGCCCCCCACCCCTGTTCTTAAGTAATTCACTCTACTTTCTTGCTTACACATACGAAAACCGAGCGGAACAACCGAAACCGAAATCGACTACAGGATGAAAGAAAAAAAAAACCCCTCCCCTCCCCGAACAATTGACGATGGAAGAGCATCCAGAAAGTCTGTGCTTCAAAAAAAGAAAAAAAAAAGGAACCCGTTACATCCCCCCCCCCTCTCTCCCACCCACACTCCACCACTCCCATCCCACGAACCAATCAATCGCGCCGAGACGTGGAGCAAAGAAACACACCTCTTCGCCCAAAGGACGACGACGGCGACAGCAACGACGATGACGATGGACATGCTACCTGACCCCACCCCCACCCACTCCTCGTCCACATGCCGTCCCCACTGCTGCTGCTCATCACCAGTGTCAAAAACGCTCCCCCCTCCCCCCACTCTTGCCGACGACAACCACCCTTTGCCGACAAACAAGAAAATTCTGACACGAACGTCCGCTGCTACCTATTATGCCGCCTCCCTGCACTAGTTGGTACTACCGCTCGCTTACCCTCGCTTACACTTCGCTTACCCCGCGTCGTGCATGGGGTAAGGCAAGGTCACAGCAGGGTGGGTAGGCAGTTGACCGGACCGGTCCGGTACGGTACGGTACGGTACGGGTAGAAAGGAAAAGCACTCTGATTCTTTCTATTTATATTCCGTTACTTTTTTTTTATTTTTAATTTTCTTGCGTTTGCGTACGTCGTTCGAGGGGGGGCGGGGGAGGGGGGAGTGGGGGGCGGGAAAGCTTGAGAGGGAACACAAAAAGAATTGGGCCGCTGCTCGGACGGAGACACGACGCGGAGACGGAAAGGTGAGATGTAACAGGGATCGGTTCTTGTCATTGATGATGCATGCGATATATGTGGAGCTGGGGGGGGTTTTTTTGTCTCTTTCCTCCGCAGCCGCGGCCGCCGCGCGCTTAGGTATGTGTGACTGAGTAATATAATGGGAACGAGGTTGGGGAGAACGAGGTGGCGGTGGGGGGGGAGAGCGGGGAGTGTACGTCCGTAAGTGTGGGAGAGTATGTGGAGTGGGGAGGAGAGGTGAGAGGGAGGAGGGCGAGAGAGAGAGAGAGAGAGAGAGAGAGAGAGAGAGAGAGAGATAAAGAAAGAAAGAAAAAGAAAGAGAAAGACAGAGACGGAGAAAAGAGAAAGTGATTGAGAGACTGGTGGTATCCTCCATCCCCCATCCACATGGTATCCGCCTTGTGGAAGGGAGAGATGCAATATGCAAGAGTAAGCCTTGCATTGATTGCGGTTAATCCCTCACGACGACCGTCCTCCCGGAAGCGGTTGCGTTGGGTGAAACGAACGAGTATGTATGTAGTGCCAGCGTGGTTGTGCAGGCGGAGGGAGGGAGGGATGGAGGGACGGGACGAGGGAAAGAACAAGGTCTGGGTTGCGGATGAATTGGAAGGGTGGGGGGGAGAGGACCCCATGTTGATCTACGGATAGAAAGGCAATGCCAATGACAAGCGGTGTCCCAAGATGATCGCCTCAGGCTGACTATGGAAGAGGAGAGGATCGGCCGAGGGAACGGCGGCGGGTGCCGGGGAGAGCGGCAAAATGCAGCAGAAGGGAAGGAGAGAGAGATAGTAGAGAGCGAGAGAAAGGGGAGGAAGGGGAAAGGGTGCCACCACGGTGGCAGGGGAAGGCTTCAGTTGGGCCAACGGGCATCGAGATAAAACGAAAACGAAGAAAAGAGGAGATGAGGATGGATGGATGGATGGATGGATGGACGGACGGATGGACGGGTGGGTGGATGTGCTCGGCTGGCGGGCGACTGGGATATGCCAGCGCGTCGGGGCTGGCTGCTGAACGGCCAAGCACAACACACCAAACGGAAAAGCTTCAGAACCCGCCGGGCGTTAGCGGCGGCGGCTGGATGGTCCCGGCCGCGATCTCCCCCCTGGTCCCTCAACGGTCCGCAACCGCCTGGCTGGCGATCGCCCTCGCGCGCGCGGGTGGACGGCAGACGGTCAGTCTGGCACTCACGACGGCCAGTCCCCACTAGCGCCGGGCCAGCATCGTCGATTGCCGCGGCGCGTCGGCCGGTATAAAGGATGGCTTGGGACGAGAGGTGAGAGGTGAGAGTGAGTTGCATGCCAGCGCGCGCGAGATCGACCGTGGCACGGCAGCGTGGATCTCGCGCCTTCGGACTGGTCTCGAACTCTCGAACCCGCGGGCCCAGCCACCCCAGGGCGTTCGCCGTGTCGACCGGACCATGTGTCGGCCGCGCGCGCGCCGAAACGTCCATGTGCATTGGCTCCGGCTGCGCCGGCCCTTGCCTGCGTTTGGGCTACGACAATCACATCACGTCTCACAGGGATCGCAACTGCGTGCCTCATGCGAGGAACGGGTTGCCGGGCTTGCTGCAGCCCATGCGGGAACGTGGTGGACGGCCGGCTGCGGGATGATGTCAAGCTCCCTCCTCCCAAGGCATACCGGCTTGCTCGCAGCCGCCCGCCGCCTTGTCTGCTGGATCGAGAATACAATTCCCCATCTCCCCCGTGCCACCACCACCCTCGCCTCGCTGCCGGCTTGGAGCTCGCTGCCGCCGCCCTGACGTCAAAGACGAGCGCCAGCCTCGGCGCCGTCCATGGCGTCCGCGGCCCGAGTGTGATAGCGCGCATTACGCACTGCCAGCTATGCCATGCTGCATGGCCGAGGTGCTGCTGCTGCTGTTGCTGCTGCGCTGTCGGTTCCGACACTGTGTATTTGCCCCTGTGGCTCCGTTTCATTCCATGCTGCCGGCATGGCCATCGGAAGGGGAGGTGGCATTTTGCATTGCTGACCCCCCGACCCCCCCCCGCCTCGGCTGTCCTCATTGGCATGCCTTTCGTCTGCGTGACCAGGGACTCCGATCCTGCCGGCCGCAAAGTCATGGAAGTCAGAGCCCGGCCTGTCGTCTCGCCGTCCATTCGCCGACGCGCCCGACGGCCCTCGAATCGGACGTGCGTGCAGCTCCGTTAGGGACTGAGTGTCTGTCGCCTTTGACGGTTAGCGAGGGGACCTCAACCCCCCAAGTGGAATCAGGGCGTGCACCTACCTACCCAGCAAGCATCACGTCGAAAGCCCGCTTCTCAGGGTTGCTGGCGACGTCAAGGGCACAGCTGCCAAAGTGTCATAGATGCTCGTCTTGAGTAGTGCACAATTTTGGAACGTCGTGGCGGGAACCCGGGCGTCGTCGGCGCCGTCAGCGCCGTGATGAGTGTGCTGCCGGGACGTCTGGCAAAGCGAGAAGCAAAAGCCAATATATGCACTTACCCACCGTCGACCCGAGCCTGATGGAAAAAGAAACCGTCGCGTGGGGTGTGTCGCATATCCAAGCTGCCCACCAAAAAAAAAAAAGGCGGGCGTCTCAGACCGGCCGGTGAGCAAGGGTCACTTCGCACATACGCGCTCAGCACAGCAGCTGATCTAGATACCCGGTGCCTGACGGCTGATCCGAAGGCCGGGTCCGCTGCTGCTATGGCGTTGGGCCGGCATGCAAAAGGACATGTCGCATATCTGCTCGGAGATCCCGTCCCTGGAGGTTGCCTCAGCTCCGGGCCCGGCGCCGTCGATTGTCTCCGACCCGGGGCATGAACGGGCCATCTGCCGCTGCTGAATCGCGTCAAACACCTCCTTGATGCTGTGAAAGAAGTGATATGTGACCTGTCGAGGGTGGCGAAGCAGGGAGTGCCGCCCTCGCCCTCAACCAGATATTGTGGCTTCCAATGGCCACGACATGATACACGCGCACGTCCGCCACTTATATTCGATTCGGAGAGTTCCTTCCCGTCGGAGACTGGGCAGTCGATCAGGGATCGTTCCAAGCGCTTGCCCGCGGAGCAAGTTCCGATGAAGGCAAGGCGTGTCTCACTGCCAACCCGGTTCATGGTTAGTAGAGGACCCTGATCATGTCAGCAGTGCCGACGTGCCTGCCTAGACAAACCATCCTTCAAGCAAGCCAGCAGCGCTAAAAGTCTTCACAGCTGTAAGCTAATTTTAAGATGGGTTGCGCAGCAGCAGATCAAAACGTGGCATGAGGTACAACATGTGAGAAAGCCATTGCTATTCAAACCCATATAGATGACCGTAGCTATGCACTACTCCTATAAGACATGCTCGTCGAGAACAAGGAAACAAGAAAAAACATATTGTTGACATCCCTTGGCGTTGAAGTGAAACAGAAGGAGAATCAAAGGCTTTTTTGGGTCATTAGGGGTCCGCGTACTCCGAGTTACCAGCCCCGGATAACGGTTTTGTAAGCCGCACCATACGCCTTCAGGCCGGATGACGACAGCAATGGGAATAGAAAAGTGTCAAAAAAAAAAGCAAGGACGCTGGCTGTTGACCAACATCGTCATCAAAATAGGGCAGCCGTATCCGCAGTAGGCCTGAACAGACGCCAATGAGAGCCGACAAAGAAGAATGACGCGTAGCCACTGATGCCAACGGCATTATTGAATGTATTGCTGAAGGTCGGGGAAGTCGTGCATGTTGAGGATGGTCTTCTTGACGACGGCCTTGACCTCGGGCTTCTGTTCGTCAGACACGCCACGGACCTTGGGGATTCCCCACTGCTCTCGGATGCGATAGTAGGCGCAGGTGAGTCCACCAGACGTTCGTTCCTGGTCAGGGTACGTCGGCCACAAACCAGACTCGTGGTGACGTCTCTTTTGGCCGGCAGGGAACCGTTCGCGGAAGTCCTTCTCGATCTCCTTCCAGGTCATGCCACGCAAGATGGCGCACACCATGATGAAAGCACGCTCTTCCTCGCCATAGGTATGGCGGGGCTCGCGACGGGAAGGATCGGCACGGCCGTTTCTGGACGAGCCACCTGGAGAGCCTTGGTTGTAGGCCGAGGGCGAGTCGGGGTCTGACGTGTCGTGGAATTCACTCTCCGAGTAGTTGGTGCTCCCAGCCGTGCTCGGCCGCCTGTAACCCGAGGCCGAATTGACAGAGGTCCACGGCGAGTGCTGAAGACCGGCAGCGGCGTAAGCGGCCGGGTACTGGGGCTGGGCATTGTGACCACCACGGATGGGCAGCGCTTGATGGCTGTACTCGGCGCCATAGCCGTAGTGGGCGTAGGCAGCAGGGTGGTACGAGCTTTGGCTGGCTCTGTGTGGGGCTGAGCGGCTACCAGGCGCAACAAAGTCGAGAGACATCCTCTCGAGGCCACGCGAGTCTGGGCTCTGGGCGCCGGCTCTGGAATGGCCGTCGATGGGCGAGGAGCTCGTCGAGCTGTTGCGGCTGCCATTGGACGGCGGGGTCGACGAGGAATCCTCGTTGAGGATGTTCCGGAGGTTGCTCATGACGGGTCAGGCGAACGGCAAAGTCGAGCTGAGGGAAAGATCCTTGGGGCGGGTGCTATGGGATGGGCTGAACCTTAATCGAGTGAGGTGGGAGGAGGAGTAGTGGAGGGCTGAGGGAGTGTTCAGGGTCCAACCGCGCAGCTCTTAAAATACCTATCGAGCAGCACGTCTCGCAAGAGTTATCAAAGCATTGATCTGGTCGGCCCAGGGCTGTCGACTCTGTGTAACCGATGCAAACTTGTAAACCTCGAGAGAAAAAGCAGATGTGTGCTCCACGGACGCATGCTTCTGCAGGCAGCCGCTTGCCAACACCCCTACCTACCACCAATGACCCCAGTCGAGGACGCTGTCCCCCGAAGATACGTGTTGTGAAGAAATCGGCGCGCTCGCCCTTCCGGGCAGTAGGCCCTGGCCCCCCGGGCCAATCTCGTCGGATCTGGCCTGGACGCAGATTGCGTCGATCCGGCCGTCGAGCTGTTCGTATCTTCACGTTCAGCCTCGCGGCAGCAGCAGGCAGGTGTCCGCAGAAGGGCAGGCCAAGAGGGGCGGGCGGCTGGAGGGTCTGTGAGCTGGCATATGCCGGTGGCGAGATCGGCAAGAGGCCAGAAACGGCGCGAGGCAGCCACATTGGTGGACGGAGGATGCGTCCCCAGACGAGTTTTGCGAGCAGAGCATGCGATCTTGGCCTCATGAGCGGCAGGCTGCAGTCCACCCCCGTCCGTACCGAAGTTCAGAGGGCGCCGGGGCAGCTGCAAAATTCCGCTGCAAGGCGACGCCCGTTTCGGACGGGAGAGTAGCGGTCATCAACGTCCAGGGCGTGTAACGCTCTGGAAGGCGGCAGGGGCCGGGGCAGCTGAGAGGAAGTAGCGCCGGGCGGGCGGTGATTGGGCGCGGGGCAGTCGAGACACGGTCCCCGAAATCATGCCCAAGATGCAGGCGCTACATTCCGGTGACACAGCCAGAGGTGAGGTACAGGCGGCGACGACGACGGCCACCGACGGCTGACTCGCGACGGCCGCTTCGAGCGGGTCATGATGTCACGGGCGGGCCAGAACCACGTGCGAGAGCTGGGGAGTGCAGGCAGAGACGGATTCCTGGGAGAGGGCCTTCTTCATCGCTGCCGCCCGCGAGCCCGGGAGCGCGCAGCCAACGGCGGGCGGGCGGCCACGGATCAGCGTTCCTGGCGCGACGCAGATGCTGGTGTCGCACATCCTCGCAGCACCGCAGCTAACGGCGCAGTCGAGGCGCATATGGGGCCGGGGCCGGGGCTATGTGCTGGAGCCGCGCAGGCCCTGCAAACGGCTTGTTGCAGAGCCAGCCAGCCGGCGCCGCCCTCTCGTAAGCCCGTCCTCCGTCAAATTTCACGAATGCACGGTGCCATAGCCCGCAGATGTGAAGAGTAGATTGCAGCGAGCCGGGGAAGCTGATGCTGGCCTCCCGATGATCGTTGCGAGGGAGCGCGCCTCTGGGGACGGGCGGGCATTGAGCGGGCGCCGAGCAGGGAGGGCGAGTGCGGTGCGCTCTTGCACGGCATGCGCGTTGCGTTGCTTTTGCAGCTGCATCCACCGCCGTGCATGCACCGCAGCACTTGGGTGCCCGCGCCAAGCCAACGCACCCTCTGCAGGGCGCCTGCGCGGCTCTGTGCCGCCGCCGTGGGCGCCGTGGCCGATAGCAACGGGCCCCAGACCTCACGTGATGAATGTGCGTGAGTTGCCTATCCTGGCCGGTGTCTGTACTCCTCGACCGCTTCCTCTCGACATGTCGGCAGCCATGGGCGACGCTTCCGCGACTTGCTGGCTGGCTGGCTGGCTCGCTGGCTCGCTGGCTCCGGTGAGTTGTCGCATCGTCTCTTCGATCCCTTTCTTTTTGCTTCCCCTTTCAGCGTGTCGCCGGCCATGTCCCCGGCACGTCCGCCTTGGACGACAACTGCACACGGTTTTCTCTGCGATCCCGGTGCGGGCAATCATGGGGCGAAACGGCTCGGTTTTGCTTTTTGCATGTGCAATGGCTGGCAAATAGAGTGGTGTTCTGTTTCCCGGTCCAGTGATCCGTAATCCTGGTCCATTCTCATACGGGGCCGCGCACAGGAGAGTTTGTGAACATGGCTTCCCACAGACGAGCAGGCAGGTTTCCTCAGCCTCACACACCCCGTTGCGGTCGGGGCAGTCTCGGCAGACCGGCTCGACGTCAACGTCGCCCATCACCATTTCTTTGCGCCAGGGTTGCGCTCGTCATCCTCATGCTGCATGAATTTTTCCCTCGTTAATGCTTTCGGCCGCAACGAGGACGCGAGATCCATAGCCATGAGCCATTTCGCCAGTGCGCAAGGCGGGTGTCCGGGCTTGCTGGGCCAAGTGGACTCTGGCGGTGCAGGAGGTCAAGAATTAAGCGAGCCGATGGTCATGTCACTAGGTCGATGCTGCTTGACCGAAAAAGCAAACGGCAAAGGCGTTGACAGGCACGGCACAATGGTGACCTGCGCCACGTCGGCCGCCACGTTCTGCTGGCAGATTGGTGCGTCGTCCACGGGCGTCGTCCACGGTGCAACAACGCGTGCCCTTTCGACGACGGGCGTCTCCAGCTGCTCAGCGCCGCATTCGAACGCGACCGGAAGCCGTCGCTCGGCTCCGCAAATACACAATGGCGGTTCTCCAGAGGGGCCTGGCGGCGCTGCGGGAGATGGCCGCGGGTGAAGCCATCTGGACGCAGTTTTGGCGGGTATGGTGAACACAGGCCAGGCAACCGAAGCGGCCAGCGTGTGATCAGCCCAGGCTTTGGCCGGGTTTGCATCGAGCTGCAGGTGACGGAGACATTGGGCGCCGTGAATGACGCGAACGCGCCCCGGACGGCGACGGCGTCGGTGAGCTCGAGCAGCGGGCAGGCAGGCGGACAGGCGGGCAGATGGCAGACAATGCGAGGCAACAGCGGCGGCGCGGTGCTGTCTCAGGCGGGCGCCGGCGTTCTTTGCAGGGCGGCTGCGTGCGGGCGACTCGACCAGACAGCGGGCGCGAGACAGGCGTCGACGGGCTGCGAGGCTTTGTGTGGTGGCTTTGTCGGCGGAGAGTGGTGATGGGCGCGCCTGCGGTTCCTGGGTTCCTGGGTTCCTGGCCGGGGCATCTCGGGGCGGGTCGCGCCAAGGCCGGCTGCATACAGCAGCTACCTACACCTTGCAGCTCGCTCGCATCCCGGAGCCAAGCACCATGCGTCCCTCCACCGCCCTCTCCCCACGACACCTCGCCCGATGAGCCGTTCCAGATGAGTTGGAACTTGTTGGAGCGCTTTATCGAGTCGGATCATTTCAACGAGGATCCCTCGCTCAGCGTCGCCTACCTGTCGTGTGTGATCCCGTCCCCGACTCCCCACCACCCTGCGCTCTCGCCGCCGCCCCCGCCTTAACGTGTCCTGTCCTCTCGCCGCTCGACTCGCGCCTGCTAACCCTCCCCACCCTGCCAGTCGATATGCCGACCACGTCGGCATCCACTATGTGCTCTGCTCGAAGCTGCGCCGCTTCTCCTACGACGAGATCGAGTTCTTCCTGCCCCAGCTATGCCATCTCCTCATCTCCGTCGACAACGAGTCGATGGCCCTTGAAGAATTCATCATAGATCTGTGCGAGGAATCAGTCAATGCCGCCCTGCTTGTGAGCCCGCCCCGCCAATGGGCCTCTCCCCTCCCACAATTCGCCGTTGCTCACCGCGCCCCCCCTTACAGACCTTCTGGCTGTTCCAGACCTATCTCCACGATCTCGCCGGCAACCCGCAATCCAACGCCTTCAAGACATGTCGTCGTCTGTACAACAAGGTTCAGCGCATCGTCTTCGGCGCCTCGGAGCCCGCCAACCGCGAGCGCATAAGGGGCAATGTGCTGCCCGTCACCGTTCTTTCGAGTCTCATCCTTGCCAGCGTCGCCGCCCCGTTCCTTCCCCGCCATGCTGGCCCATTGGCCGTCGCCCAGGCCCGCAAACCGAGAGTGACGACCGAGACCATATCAGACGCCTCCCAGACTCAGACTCAGAAGGTGGCTCGTAGCAACACCGTGGCAGGCGCTTCGCCCCGCCCACGGAAGCCAAGGCCGCAGTCTGTCGTCCTGGAGCCTACCGAGCCCGAATCCCCCATGTCGCCCAAGCGCCACTCGACCGTGCCTGCCCTGGAGATCCAGTCGAGCCCGTCAAGGCAAAGCCCGAAGACGCCGCGAGCTGCCTCGGCCGCCCACCGGCCCTCCCTTCTCAACGTCGCGAAAGAAGCACGCATGAGCTCCTCGTCTCTGCCTGATTTTCGCAGTTCTAGCGTCTCTCCGATCCCGGACCCCCCGCCAACCGCCGGCCTTCCGCCGCGTCCAAGTGAGCTTGCGCCGCGCCGCGAACCCCGTGCCCCCCGACCCCTCAGTCCGAGCGCCCTCTCTCGATCGCAGAAGATCCGAATCTTGCGCTCCAACTATTTCCGGAGTCAAACTCAGTTCTTGAGTGCGCTGGAGGATATTTCGAACAGATTGGTCATTGTTCCGAAGCCTGCACGCCTCAGTGCGCTGCGCGCCGAGCTGGCGTTGATAGCTCAAGACCTCCCTGCCGAGGTCGACATCCCCATCATCTGTCCCCCAACTCTGAAGGATGGAGCTGCAGCCCACAGCCAACACCATAGGATCGTCCGTCTCAATCCGGCAGAGGCTACCAGCCTGAACAGCGCAGAGCGTGTTCCGTATCTTCTGATGGTGGAGGTGCTTCGAGAAGACTTTGATTTTGATCCCGACACGGAAGCCAATCAAACATTGCTCACCCGGCTGCTCGCCGAAAAGGGAATCAACAAGCGCCGCTTGTTCGATCTTTCGGACTCGTCACGGCAGGCGATCATTCCGGACAAACCGCCTGACCCGGGTGTTGACAGCGTGTTCGAGCCAACCGATGGCGACCTTGGAAGCAAGGATCTCCTCATCAAGGATCCTGCCGAAGAGGAGCTTGCGAACGGCATGGCGAAGACGGCATTGGCGGGTAACGGATACAGCAGTGGCGTCAGAGTCAACCCTGCACGATCGTCAAGCGGTGCGCACACGCTGTCTTCGGTGGGCACGGCGTCAACCCCTCGATCGTCCGACATGGAGACCAGCCGGACTAGCAGCCCGGTCCCGCGTAAGATGACCTTGCCGATGCCCAATCGGGCGCAGGGCCCGGATCAACCGGATTTCTCTGCCCTGGCCACGCACATGCGCACTGCGGCACAGATGCTCGCGCAGCTAGAGGCTAGTGGGTCGAAGCGGCCGAAAACGGAAGTCGCCTCGATCAAGTCGAAAATCATCGCAAGCATGCAGAGCCTGGAGGAACAAAGCTTCTATATGGATGAGACACCCACGTTCGACAGCATCATGGCCGAGCCCAAGGCGCAACCGTTGACGGCCGAACCAGAGGACCTTGAGGACGCAGCTGCGGATCCGAACGCGAGCAACAGTGCTGGTGCGGCACGAATGGAAAACGACTCCAAGACGGGAGGCATCCAGCGCAAGGGCGATCGCGATGACCCGAGCGCTGCAACGTTTGGCGAGGAGTGGAAGGCCAAGAAGGAACGCATTAGGCGGTCTTCGCCTTACGGATGGATGCAGAACTGGGATCTCATCAGCGTAATTGTCAAGACTGGTGCCGATCTTCGCCAAGAAGCGTTTGCCTGCCAGCTTATCCAAGTGTGCAGCAAGATTTGGCAAGATGCCGAGGTGCCCGTGTGGGTGAAAAGCATGCGCATCTTGGTGACGGGCGAGTCGTCGGGTCTCATCGAGACAATCACCAATGGCGTCTCACTGCACTCGCTCAAGCGCAGCTTGACCCTTGCTAGTATTGCTGCAGGCACCAACCCCCGCAAGCGCATTGCCACGCTACGGGACCATTTCGTACGGACGTTTGGCGAACCAGACAACGAGGTTCACGTTGCAGCAGTGGATGCGTTTGCTCGCTCACTTGCAGCGTACAGCATCGTATGCTACGTGTTGCAGCTCAAGGACAGACACAACGGCAATCTTCTCATCGACAACCAAGGCCACATCGTCCACATCGATTTCGGCTTCATGCTGTCCAACAGTCCGGGCAGCATGGGGTTCGAGGCTGCGCCGTTCAAGCTAACGCAGGAGTACGTGGACGTGCTCGGTGGCGTGGGAAGCCCGGGCTTTAACCTCTTCAAGAGCCTCTGCAAGCAAGCCTTCCAGGCGCTTCGGAAGGATGCTGAGAGGATCGTGATGCTGGTGGAGATGATGGGCAAGGCCAGCCAGATGCCGTGCTTCGCGGCGGGTACGCAGCAAGCCGTGGCAGCGCTGCGGTCAAGGTTCATGCTGCAGCTGAGCAAAGAGGAGGCAGAGTTCTTTGTGGATGATCTCATCGCGAAGAGTATTGGAAGCTACTACACGAGGCTGTGAGTACTCTCGCTCCGTGGGGCCGGGGCAAGCTAACCGGATGCAGATATGACACTTTCCAGTACCGTACGCAAGGCATTTACTGATCTGGAAAATACCCAATTGCCGAATCAATTCGTTTTCGAGCATGTCGCACCTTGATTGCGGGCAGGAAGAGCATCGCGACGGCGTTCTGCGTTTGTACGACCGCATTTTACGTGAAATTTAGGATTTAATTTCCTTGGAATCTGGTTTCAGTTGTTTGCCGTGAATATACGTGGGGTGCTGGTGACAGGCACATGGGGCGGCTGGGCGGCAAATGGGGACGGCAGCATGGCGGCATCTCGGCGGGTTGATGTTGCAGCAAGCAACCTTCCGAGGAACCCAGCTAAGTTGCATGACCGACTAACAAGACTGCCTCCAGCAAAAGCATGGTCCTCCGTGTTTGCAGCCGGGCCAGTCGGGCCTACCTCCGCTGGCGTCAGAAAAAGCACGCCGTGTCACCCCACCGACCACCAGCGAGCTCTTGATTCTGTCTGACATATTCAATCTGCAACTTCGGATCTGCGGCATCTGCACGAAACATACGGCCGTTACCAAGGGTGACGGTCCACTTCAACGGTCCTAGAATGTGATTCCTGTGGAACAGAGAGTAAGCAAAGCAAGTCATCCCATTGCTTCTGTGTCGTCTCGCTAGCTGTCTGTTGTAGCAGGGTGCTTGCTCTCGATCTGCATATCCCCGTACTTCACTCCATCGCTCAAGCATGATCGATGATCCTTGCAGGCGTGTAGGCGTCTACGTGCTATGCCCACACGTTCCTCCGCTTCTACCTCTCACGTTGTTCGCTGTTAGTTGAGTGAGCCCGTCAGATCTAGCATGGACGGGCAGTGTAGGCCGTGGATGATCAGTGGAGAGTCAAATATAACTGCCTGTCGACCTCTTGACCACTTTCACACGGTAGGATCGACAAAGGCAGCCGACTCAGCATATATGACTACCGCGAATACTTTGCAGCGCCATGGGAGACTTGTTGAGTACTATACCTCGTTTTCGTGGAGCTCACAGTACCGCTAGTATCTCGTCCAAAGCCTATCAGTCAAGCTACTTCTCCGTCTCAACACCACAGCTTCAATGACAAGCGTTGGCTCGGTATTCATCCATCCATCCATCCATACGGAAGCGATGAGTCAGAATCAGCTGCTGTAGCAGCAAGCAAGCAGCTGAAAGACCCCGCAGCTGACGGTGGAGGGGAAAGAGGCGGAGCTGGCTCCGGCCAGAGAGAAAGATTGCTGCCCTATGTATGCGCGACACCATGCAATGCGAGTGCGGCGGGCACGTAAGGGAAACAGGAAAGAAAACTTTCTTGGAAAAGTAGGGGGCACGATGCGTCGTATATGTATGTGACAGACAGTGAATTCTTATTTATTTTTCTTTTCGTGCCACATTGATGAATGCTTCGATGCTGCCGTTATTACGACCGCCCACGCCACGCCCACGCCAAGCCACGCAGCCCTTTCCCCAGTCGTTGTCGTCATAGGCGCTTGATATCGTTGTCGACGATATAATATGTGCGGTGATGTAAAACCCTACTCTGCACGCACATGCAAAGCAACTGCTGCATATGTTTACATAACACTCTTTCTCTATCTCTCCGATCTGGTAACGATTTCGATTAAACGGTGTCACATCCCCGAGATCTTCTATGCTTCCTTCTACAACATTCAATCCCCCTGTTTAACCGATGTTAGACTGGGCAAGCTGATTTCCCTTTCGTATGGGACAGCTATTTCTTTTTTTGAATTTTCTTTTCTTCTTCTGACTGTTTGCCTATGGTTTGTCCGATTCATGCTGTTCGCCCGTTGGCATTGTATTTTTCTTTTTTTCTTTTCAAATAGATAGCTGGTGTAAGGAACAGGGTTGATCAATGCAAATGCACTGCAACGACACTGCCGAGCCGATACTCCAAGCGGTGAAACAGGGTGTCCCCGGTTGCTCTAAGCAAGTTAACAGCGATCCTACAGCTAACGGATGGACAGCGTATAAGGATGGAAACGTGTTGGAGCCTCGCAGAGAACAATGGTCGCATCAAGTGTCGATCTATTACTAAAACATAGTGAAGGCGTACGAAAGCTTAGTTCAACCCATTTCTTCTTTCATCCATGTATGACCATAGCAGGGAGGGTTTCAGAAGCGTGTATCAAAGCAGCAGTGAGATCAAGGCCGTTCGCACGTTGTCCGGGGCCATTGCTCGCTCGCTCCCCATCGAGCCTCACTCTCCCATTTTCCCCTAGGTAGGTACGTCGGGCGTCCATCTCACCACCGCACCGTTTCCGACAAGCCCTTCCCACCCACCCCTGCCCGCTCATCGCGATCACAACAACTCTGTTTGGACCGGATCCCCGACGACTCCAACAGCTGTCCCGTCGATCCATTCCACATGCACACCACACGCCCGAACGAACGATCCAAGCGTGCCGATCTTCAGGCTGTGGGTACATATCAACAATCCAACGCCATGCACCATGCAGGGCGGCGCGCGGGAGAAACCTCGTAATGTACGTACTTAGCGCGCCGCCCCGCATGCTCGGGTGGTGCCCGCCGCCGCGTTGTTTTTTTTTTTTTTTCCTTTGCTAGTTATCCTCATCACTCATCAGCACGGATGCGGACTCTTTGCCCGGGCTGCCTTGACGTAGTTACGTAGTCTATACGGAAAGCGCGTACTCGCCTACGTGCCGATATTCCGAGTTTACGGCGGGGGTGAAAGGGAGGGGGGGGGGAGGGGAGGGGAGGGGATGATGATGATTCAGCGAGACCCCGTCGTCTCGGGATCCATGTTGGGGCGTATACATGTAGAGTGCTCTCTCTCTCTCACACACACTCTCTATCTCGTTCCACCACGCAGCTGCTTTTTTCGTGCGCGTGTGTGTGTGGAGCGCTGTCGTATCACGAAGAGAGAGAGAGAGAGAGAGAGATACGATATCGACGCGGGCCCCCGAGCCGCGATCTTCACGCGAATGAGAGGCTCTTCCCTCCCCCTGCCTGCTTTTTTTTTTCCCCGTTTTCCCCTCCCGTCGTCGATTTTGCTCCCTCGGAGCATTATCTGACCATCTGCCCCGCCCTCTATTCCTTGCCATATATGTAATCCGCCCGGCCGTTAATTACCCACTTTCTCTCTCTCGATTAATAATGCAGGGCCATGACCGAGCAAACAGCAACAAAAGCCTCGCGAGCCCTTTGATAGAGAGAAAAAAAAAAGTAAACAAGAAAAAAAGAATGGCTACCTACATGACAAATCCCCACTGTTTTTCTCTGCCCCACAAATAGTCGGTATGCGGGAAGGAGGCGCCGCTTCCCTCCTTCTCTTCTCCCCCCGTTTCGCGGGTGCGCGCCGACATGGGGCCCGTAGATATGTCTCAGCACGTCATGTATATGGTATGCCCGGTAATGACCATGGTCGTGGTGGTGGGGAAGGGCAGCAAAAAACGAGCAGCATGGCATTGGTCATCGGTACCTAGGCAGACGTGATGCTGTTTGTTTGTTTTTTTATTTATTCCCCATTTCTTGGAATTTTCGATTTTTTCGTCGTGTTGTAATAATATGCATGAGGGTTCGGGACCACCCACCGAGCTAACGCACAACGCAGCTTTGACGTGCATGTATACGAGAGAATGAGAAAGCGAAGGCGGTTGGAAAAGCCCTCATCAGGCTGCGGTGTCGGAGGGGCGTGGAAAACCACTCCCGGCGCGTTCAGCCTTGTGTTTGGCTTTCCTTTCCTTTCTTTCCCCCCTCCGGCGCAGTTTGTTGTGGTAAACTTGGGTTGATGCTGTGGGGGTGGGAGTTGCTTTCGCTTCCTCTGGCTCCTCTTCTTCGGTCTGTGTAGGGGTGGCCACGTAAGGCAGCCTCGCCATTTGCTCCCGGCGAAAGGGGGGAAGGGGAGGGGAGGGCAAAAGGGAGGGAGCGTGAATGTGAATGATGTGTACTCGACGTGCATAATGGCGCGAGGCTGCTGTACACGTCAACTCCCTGCGTGTGTCTTTTGTCGCGCAGCCAGCTTGCTTGTTTTGGACTTCCCGCCCCCTCCCCTACGAAAATGAGGATGAGCGGAATTCCGTTAGCGTATATTGGAAGGGCTCCTTTGTCGCCGGCCAATGGAGGAGAGGTTCCCGTCGGAGGGGGCTCCGGGGAGGAAGGGTAGAGGAAAACAAGACTGGGGTGGGGTTGATCATGCTACAATTCCCGCTGCGAGGGAGGGGGCGTGGGAGTGAGGCGTGGTGGTAAGTGGTGATGCCGAGGATGGGTATTCTCTGGTCATGCTTCTTTTGCCCTTCTTCGCAGGTCTGGCGGCATCTGCCGGCTGACAATGTTCCCAGGCTGTCGTGCTCTCACCACCGTGATGAGCCTGGCCTTGCTTGCTTAGCCCGACATTAGCCGATGCATTGGCGCAGGGAGGGGTATGCTCTTTCATTGCCCGCATATGGAGACGTGCAGTGTTCTGGATCGTGTAAGAGAGGAGGATGCCGGAAGGAGCTGAAAAAACAACCCTCCTCCCGACTGCGGTGACACTCGCTTGCGGAAACACCGGAGGATAGCGAATCTCTAGGGGTGGGTCTCGGCAAGAGAGTGCTGTGGCAGAGATCAGATGCCGCATCGAGTGCTTGGTTGGCGAAGGGCGGCACGGCATGGGCATCGGCGGGGCAGCGTTCTCATTTCTTCAGATATCGGCGCTTGGCAGAAGAAATGGGGCAGAGGGGAAAAAGGAAACAGACGGAAGGGGCGTGCTAGGCTTCGGGCAAAAGAAATGAAGGGCGGAAAGAAGCTGGAAAAACGGCGGTGGATTCGATGCAAGAGCCAGAAGCGGCGGTTGGAGGCTAGACAAAGCCAAGAGGGCTTCTCGCATTTTCTTGGTAATAACACTGAAACACAATTTCGTCGCCAAACGCCGCCAGATGCTTTTTACCCTCTTCAGAACTCCAATGCTTTTGATGAGTGTCCAATTCCCCCTCTTTTCCGGTGCGCGGCGCTTGCCGATATGCGGCATCTCTTTTCTTCCCTCCTGCCGGGTATCATAGATGTATGGTCGAGTGCGAGACATGGCCGGTGTTCAGGTGGTGGTGAAGAGGGTGTCTTCCTCTCTCAGGTACTCGCCAATGTCGGCCTGCCTGAAGGTGGCGATGCCGGTCGGATCGAGACGGCGAGCCTCAGCAGTGGAGCGGGAAGTGACACCGAAGCCCTGCATGGACCGTCAGCGGCGCAGGGCGGGGTTGCAAAGACGGAAGACTTACCAGCGGGGTGTCGTCCATGGAGTAGACGACGACGCCCTGGTGCTCGGGACAGTCCTCGCTCCAGCGGCCGACGTGGGCCTTCAGCACGTTGCCGCCGTACAGGAAGGGCATCTCGCCGTTGGGCTTGATCCAGACCTTGTAGCGGGCGTGGGGAGCAATGGCGTCCAGGGCGGTGATGTGCAGGCGAAACTTGCCCGTCTTGGTGAACTTGCCAATGCAGGTGCCGAGCGAGAGCAGGTTGGGGCGGGCGATGCTGGTGGCGAGGTTGGCGATGCTCTCGCGCACGTAGTAGACGCGGTTGTGCTGGATGCGGAAGACATGGCGGTCGTTGTCGGGGCCGTTTTGCGGGGCGATGAGGTGGTTCAGCGAGCGGCCGGTGTAGTTGGCCAGCTTGGTGAAGAGCGTCTGGGTCTCGGTGTCGGTGAGAGGCCTCATGGCGGGCGAATGGGCGTGGGGACGGGCGGTAGTGGTGGTGTTGACGGCGGGTTTGATGCGGAGGACGGCGTCGCAACTTTTTGTCGGGGCTTGGCGCAGCACTTCGCCGGCCCGCCGCCAAAAAATTCCTGGGCCCGCGCCGCACCCCGACCGCAACCCACCGTTTCCCCAGAGCAACAATGGCCCGCCTGCCTGCCCCCAAGAGACGGCGCTTGTCGCCTCCCGACGACGACGACGCCGCCAGCGACTCGCCCAGCCACGCTCTCGCCACCTCGAGCTTTGCCAACTCCACCTGGGACCTCGAGCAGGACTATGAGAACCGCCCGCGCTCGCTGAAAAAGAAGAAGGAGGCCACTCGCCTGCCCATCAAGACCCAGGATGGCCGCGTCGAACACGTCCAGGTCGCCGAGCCCGACAAGGCTGAGCCAGCGGACGACGACAGCTTCCTCGGCACAAGCAGCGACGACGATGAGGAGGAAGCGGCCGAGCCTGTGCCCGAGGCGCCCAAGAAATCCGCTCGCCAGCAGCTCGTCGAGGCCAAGGAAGAGCTTGCCCGCGTCGCCGAGCTGATCAACGAGGACCCGGAAGAGCACATTGGCGCCCTGAAGCAGCTTGCCGCCTTCGCCAGCTCCAAAAACGTCACCGTCAAGAAGCTGGCCCTCGCGACCCAGGCTGCCGTCTACAAGGATATCATTCCCGGATACAGGATACGCCCGCTGCCCGAGGACGGCTCCAAGGAGAAGCTGTCCCGCGAGGTCCGCCGTCTGCGCAACTTCGAGCAGGCCCTCGTCCACGGCTACCAGGACTACGTCCGTGACCTGGCCCAATGCGCCAAAGGCAGCAAGTCCGGGGCTTCGGAGAGCATGGCCGGCCTGGCCACCGTCGCCATCAGCTGTGCCTGCAACCTGCTCACCTCTGTGCCCCATTTCAACTTCCGCGGAGACATCATAAAGATCCTTGTCAACAAGCTGAGCACCAGGTCCGTCGACCAGGATTTCGTCAGGTGCAGGGAGACCATCGAGAAGGTTTTCGAGGACGATGAAGACGGAAATGCCTCCTTGGACGCCGTCACCATGATCACCAAGATGATCAAGGGCCGCAACTACCACGTCCACGAGAGCGTGCTCAACACCTTCTTGCATCTGCGCCTGCTGTCCGAGTTCTCCTCCAAGGGTTCGTACGACAGGATCGACAAGCCCGAAGACGACATGCCAAGAGGCAAGAAGCCCAAGGAAAAGCGCGAGTTCCGCACCAAGAAACAACGCAAGATCATGAAGGAGCAAAAGGCCATCGCCGAGGAGATGAAGGAGGCCGACGCCGCCGTGAGCCACGAGGAACGCGACCGCCTGCAGGCCGAGACGCTCAAGCTCGTCTTCGTCGCCTACTTCCGCATCCTCAAGTCCCGCAGCCCGTCTCTGATGGGCGCCGTGCTCGAGGGCCTCGCCCGCTACGCCCACCTCATCAACCAAGACTTCTTCGGCGACATCCTCGAAGCTCTGAAAGACCTGATCAGCGACGCCGAGAGCCTCGAAAACCAGGACAGCGACGCAGACGACGACGACGACGACTCCGCCGAGAACTCGGCCCTGGGCACCCGCAACGCCACGCGCGAGTCGCTCCTCTGCGTCATCACCGCCTTCGCCCTGCTGCAGGGCCAGGACGCCAGCAAGGCGGCTTCCAGCCTGCACCTCGACCTCAACTTCTTCATCACCCACCTCTACCGCACCCTGTACCCCGTCAGCCTCAACCCGGACGTCGAGCTCGGCGCCAACTCGCTGCACCTCCCCGACCCCAACGCGCCCCACCAACAACAACACCAGCAAACCCCCTCCGCCAACAAAATCAACGTCCAAACCACCACCGTCCTCCTCCTCCGCTCCCTCTCCTCCGTCCTCCTCCCCCCCACCGCCATCCGCGCCGTGCCCCCCCTCCGCGTCGCCGCCTTCACAAAACAGCTCATGACCGCCGCCCTGCACCTGCCCGAGAAGTCGTGCCTCGCCGTCGTGTCGCTGCTCGCCAAGGTGACCAAGGTGCACGGCCGCAAGGTCGCGCCGCTGTGGAACACGGAGGAGCGCCGCGGCGACGGCGTCTTCGACGCGCTGGGGACGCAACTTGAGAGTAGTAATCCGTTCGCGGCGACGGTGTGGGAGGGAGAGGTTTTGAGGTGGCATTTTTGTCCGGGGGTGAGGGAGGGGTTGGGGGCGGTGGGGAGGGGCGTGGCGGAGGGGATGAAGTGAAGGAGGTGGTTTGGTTGGTGGATGGAAGTGTGGTGTGCAGAAAGTAGAAGCTTTTTTTTTTTTTTTAGGATGCCCGTGGGGGGGTTTTTGTTGATGGCGTATTATGTTGTGGATATGTGTCGTAGATGGGCTGCTCTTCTCTTCTGCGGCTGATGTTGCTGCCGGATACCAACATAAAAATAAAGCTTGATCATCTTCTTTCTGGAATAGGGACCTCACTCTCTTCCGCCGTCTTTTAAAGTACCGCTGAGGCGCGGCTCTCGGTGAGGTGATACTCCCAACTTGTGCTTGAGGATAAGGGATGAGAGAGGAGAAGAGGGCAAGAAAGAGGAGAAGGGGGAGGAAAGAGAGATCTCCATGCGATGCATGTACATATTCTTCCCCGTCGATTTACTTGTTAACTCTCCATCTCCTTCTTCCACTCCCTTCGCGTAGGTAGATTATTAGCGTCGCGAGCGGATGGGTTCGTTCTACGACGCGTCTAGATGATTTGTATATACAGGAAAAAATCAAAACGTATATAATTTTCCCTACGGATAGGTAGGTACACTTTTCGCATGTTGGAGGAGGGGGGAAAAGTGCTAAGTCGATGCGCACGGCAAACAAAGATGAGTCGTAGAAACACCTCTCCTCTACCAACCCATTTATATACACACATACACACAAATACACCGTACCGCCGGAGTGAGCTTTTCATAGACATCTACATATATTTCCGCTTTCCGGCCTCCCGCATCTCCTTTCCTCTATTTTCCTTTTTTCCTTGGTGTGTTCCACCACTCCACGCCAGCTCGATATGGCGAGACGGTATACGCTAGTGCTACTGCTACTACTACTACTATTACTACTACTACTGCTATTACTGCTGCTACTACTATAATATCTAGTTACGTGAAGAAAAAAAAAACTTCTTTCCTACACACTTACTCTAGTATATACAGCCTCCATATTATAGACCTTTAGCTTTCCCTACTACCTCTTATCTATCTATCCGTGTAGCGGTTATTCTACCAAACTTTTACAGCCGACTACCTACGGTTTTTTTTCTTGCTCCATCTTAATATATATACCTAGAAGTAGTAGATCTAGCCGCTTCGATTTTGCCCCTCGTCCTTTTCCTTTTTGGTTAACTACTACTAGTATCATTACTCTTCTAGGAAGAAGAAGAAGAAAAATCAGCGTGCGAGTAGCGGAGGTGTGTGGGAGAGAAGGGATTGCCGGTTTTATATTCCGCGGTCGTTCTCTAAAACCTTGCTCATAACGTCAGACTACCACATCATATTTCACAGTGGAAAGACAAAAGAAAAAGAAAAAGCGACACTGGTTTTAATTATATGTTTGCGTATTGTATGGTTCATATTATAGCTCCTTCCCCCGTGAGAGAGCAGCAGCAGGCTAATTGATTGCGAGAGCATCACTCCTACTACTATACTACCTCGAGACGGTAGGAGGGAAGGAGTACGAGTAAGAGGAGAGTGAAGAGGAGGAGGAACGAAAACGTTGCCCTGATTATAAGATCGTGACGGCCTCAATAGCGACCTGGTCGATAAAGCGCCGCCCCACCAACGATAGTAACAACTTTGCCAGATATCAGGGGAGGAAAAGGGAGGGAGAGAGGAAAAGAGAGAAAGAGAGAGCGAGAGAGAGGAAAGCGTACCTACCCACACGCCAGCCTACGCCCATCAATCAGCTAAATCAGCCGACCGGCCGGCCTCGATTAAGAAAAAAAACCCCTTTCTGCATAGGTACGCTCGTACGCACATGCATACATATACATGCAGCAGCAGCTCACTCCAAGGTTCTGCACACATACCCAAGCAGAGGGAAAAAACGGCCTCTATGTATGTGCATGCAATGCACGGCCATGCACACAAACATACCATACCGTCCACGTCGATGCCCGTCGACGCAGCAGGGGAGAAAGAAGGGGAAAAAAAAGAAAAAAAAAGAGACTATTGAAGGCTACTAGCTGGGCTGACTGACTGGCTGGCTGGCTGGGCTGACTGGCGCGCGCGGGTGGCGTGTGTCTCTCGTAACGGTCTCGGGGAGATCGGGTTCCTTCCCGTTGGCTTGCTTGCTAGGTGCTGCTGCTGCTGCTGACCGCCACCGCTGCCGCCTTTTTTCTTCTCCCCCTTGTACTCGTTCAAGCCTCACATAGGTGGTATTCAGGGTACCTATCGCCTGCCTTGTCTTGTCCTTGTGGCACGGCAGCATGCAGAAAGGAAAAGAAAAATCTCGCATGCTGACTTTCTTATCGTGTTCCCGAAGAACGGCGAAGAAACCGAGAGGGAAGGTCGAAGCAGGAAGATGGGGAGAATTGCCGACGGTTGATCCATGTGTTGTCGGAAGAGGAAAGAGGAAAAGCAAAAACGGTTGCTGGACGCCTCGAGGTGTGGATGACGACGACGATAACGATGCCCGGCCCCCTATCCATGATGGTAGCCTGCCTACACGGAGAGTAGCACTGCGCGCAACCACTTGTATCGTGACACAGGGCGGTTGCATGGTACCAAGTCGTCATGTACCATGTAGCTGAGCCGTTGAAGGAGTGAGGCTGCAGTGTGCCTTTCCCGGTTTGCTTTTTCCAATTTCTCCGAGACGAGGCAGCTGAAATGTTGCTTTTCCGGGCCCCGGCCGCGGTTCGCGAGCCGGCTGGGCGTGCAGCTAGGCAACGACCCGAGACCAGCCAGTAAGGTTCCACAGCCAGCAACCTTCAGCCAGTCAGCCAGCCAGTCAGCAATTCTCTCTCGTCACTGCCGATGCAAGATGCTGGCTGACGATGTATTCCCTTTCCTCTTCGGCGTGGTACTGAGGTGATTGCAACGGGGAGTGGAGACGGCGGCTCGCTGCATCCTCGTCACGACAAGAAGAAAATACCTTCGAGTCTAGACCGTTCGCACGGCACAGGATCCTGCAGTTTTGCTGCCATGGTTCTGGGGGAAGGAGGCTCATCTTGAGATGCGACGAAGCAAGCCTCTGTAAGACCGATGGTTGTAGGCACTCCCCCTTTCGCAAGATCGATGCATCTGTGAGTCATTTCTCACCATCACAGCCATCATGGACGTTGTACCGTGGTCGGAAAAGGGGACAGAGGCATGCATACATGGCGGTCTGTGGCGATGGTGTTCATGTCTTGGGATGGCACAGACCGAATGCGAGCCATCAGCTGAGGATATGGTGCTCGCCATATGCACATCTGACGGTTGAGTGTTTTCGTGCGGGAGAACGGGAGGGTGCTTTTAATTTTATTGGCATCCAGAACGGGGGCCCTGGTCCACTGACGTTCTCGATGAAGGACGCCACAATGGCCGTCCAACCATGGTAGAACCCTGCCGATTCCATGTGCGGTGGCTTTTGCGGATCTGGCCTGCCGTCGTTCCGACTGGTCCGCCCTGCCAAACAAGGAAATTCCTGTCACGCGCCTGCGTCCCTGACAGGAGAAATCCAACATGACGCTGTGGCACTCGGGCCGGGCAACGGCAATATTCACAATGCGGCTACCCGCGTAAAGGCATCGATCAGGGCACACCCTGAACTGCATGTTGTAATACCCCAGCCTGGAACCAGCCGTGCGGGAGCTTGGCGAAGGAACTGCATGACGCATGTCTGGAGGCGGCGTTCTCGATCTTCTCGTTCCTAGGGTAGGGCGGCGGCTGGCTGAGAAATGTGCCGCCCTCCCGGAAGCGTGCAACATTGGTACAGTGCCGCGTGGCCGCGGCTGCCGTGCATGACGGATAGACTTTGGGACCTTGACGAATCCCAGTCGGCAGACACCGACTACGTGGTGTTGATTCCTGCATTGTCGAGGTGGCGGCGAGGGTCGTCGCCGGCCATTGCTTGCTCTTGACGCGTGACGGACCGATGACCGTTTCCACCGGTGACCCTTGACGACATCCTCATGCAGACAAGGGTAAGTGTGCGTGGAGGCATGGAGTCGAAAGAAAGTTGACTCGGCTGTGACAAGTGTCCTGACAAAGCGCGGTGCTGCATGCGGACATCGGAGGCCATGCTGTGCAACGCAAACTCGCACAAGCTGACCTTGGCATGCATGACGAATCTCTCGGCAGTGCTGGAGGTCAACCATGGTTCAGGACTTCCAGGACCCCGGCTGAGACCGTTCCAATTGCCAGGTCCTGGACGGGCATCGTAAACGGGCAGGGCCGGGTTCAAATGCCAGAAAATCTGCAGGAACACGGTGGAAATCGAGGATGAAGGAAAAGGGTGGTGAATAGGGTGTGACACAGAGCAGGGGTGTTGAAGTAGGACTAGGGCTGAAGGAGCTGCAAGGCCACGCGGGTTCAGTAATCAGAAAGCGCTGAGGTGACACAGGGCATGGCTCGGACAGCTGCCTGTGCCAATAGAAAAGGGCAGTAGCCCGGTCTCTGCCGTCCGTGAAGAAACGCACAGCAAGCACGTACCTGCATCCTTCAGCCTCGGTGAAGTTTGGTCGACAGAGATGCGGCGCTCCCGAGAGCGATCGATCGAAAGAAGTCAGCAGCGTATCGGAAGCTGAAACTGACCATGACGCCAATCAACGGCCGGACGGCGGCATTGGACCGGGATCATGCGACAAGACATCGCCAACGACTCTTGTGGAACGTCCTGAACGAATGGTGATGGCATTTCAGGGATGGATATCGGATCAGTCGGTCTGCAGATGGAACGTCCGGGCGTTACACGGATAGACGGGCCAAGGTATACTGCATGGTGGGCAGGAAGGATGGAATCCTGGCGCTTGAGACATCAGAGCAGCATCGGACGCTCGACACGGTCGACCAAGCAAGGCGATATGGAGTGGAACAAGAGCATGAGGGATTGCCGGGTGTAACGCGGGATTGAATAAGGCTGCAAAAGGCGGATTGCAGCAAGCAGGGCGTCTGCTGACTTTGCTGAACAATGCGCGACACGCAAATGGAAAGTAGGCGCGCTGCAAACCCTTGGCGACGGGAGGGCGGGCGAATCAGGAGGCGAGGTCGGGGCAGGGTTGGCCATCAACAGCGGCGAGCTGCAGCAAGCATGATACACGCAATCTAGCTGAAAGAGCTGAGGCCGGAAGGAAGCATGGAATTGCAGCTGCAGAAGATGTGCGTAGGATAGGATCCGGCATGATGGAGGTCGGACGGACAGCACGACCATGGGGAACAAGCTGGTGTATTACGTTGTTCAGTGGCACAACGGCAGCGCGAGTGAGCTGATGGCTGCAGATTCAGGACGAGTCGTCAGGGAAGCGTGCCGTGCACAGGCGGCTGGCTGCCAGCTGTTCGGGCAGCAGCGTGACCGTATCTGACCCATGGTTCTTGCATGCGAGAAAAACAGGATGAAGATCAATCTAAAGCGCGTAGTCCATCCAGGAGGGCGCGGTGGGACCCTTGGAGCGACTGTTTGGAAGGCTTAGCGGGTGGAGACTCCCCTTTCTCTTTCTCGCGTCGGAGCGTGTCCTCGGCCGACTCCAAGCTGCCGATGTCACGGACTTTCTCAAAACCGAGGGACTTGAGAGCGTCCAGGGCGATGGCTGAACGGCGTCCGGAGCGGCAGTACAGGGTGATGTCGTCCTGCTTGGAGACGCCGGGGCGGTGGAGCAGCTGGTCGATGTCCTGGTACTCGATGTTGATGGCGCCGTCCAGGAAGCCGGTGGCAAACTCGGCAGGAGTCCGCACGTCGACGAGCAGTGAGGAAGGCATGTTGGCGGTCGGATGCAGCTGGATTGGAGAGATGGGATGGGATGTCGTTGGAGTGGAAGCTCCCTTCCGGCGTAATGCCGGCCACGATCGAGCCCGGAGATCGCTCCTGCCTGCTACGCAGCATACTTAACCGTATTCAGCCTCACGTTTCACCCATGGCTGGAGGACGCTGCTCTACCTAGGCAGTAGCCGCGCTGGGCACTTTCCGCACTGGATATGCGCCAGCTCGATGCCAGCCCGACGCCAACTCAACGCCAGCCGGAAAAACTCCAGCTGAGGTCTCGGTTTGTGTCGGCTAATCCATTATCAATTGCGCCTTCCAATACGTCGTCACTCATCTCGGATAAAGAGCAATCCGCAGTCGAAATGCCGTACCTGCTCCCGCGCTCAACTTCACGATGCTCGACCGGGTAATGTCTAGGAGATAACACCCGGTTCTACCCGTCCAAGAGGCACGACCCACCGGCCTAGCCTCGCATCCATCACCAAATTACGTAGTTGCGCAGCTGCAGCAATCCACCCAACACCCGTCCTCTGGCACCAGAACAAGGGAGCAGCAAGGCCAATGCAACAAGCAGCAGGGACAAAAAAGCATTGGATGATAGTTTCATTATTTCCGTAAGCCAGTAAAATCCACAAGCAATTGCTCTCCACTCGAGCTGGGGGATATCCGAGACAAACAAAAATGCAGGGACTCCGAGCCCAAGAGATAAACGCCCCCAACCATTTGCCCAATGCCCACACGTGTGTGTCCGTCCCGATGACAGAAGTAACGCCAGTTGTAATGCCAAACCCCCTATCCCCATATCATCCCGTCCCGTTTCCCCCCGACAAGCGAAAAGCTCTTTTGACGATGACGTATCATCGCAATGATTTGGTTGACCCCCCCAAAAAGAGAACGGATATGGTCGATGGGTTTTTTTTTGATCCTTGACGAAAGAGAAAAGACCTCATTTCTTCGCAGCCTGTAAGAAGAAAAAGAAAGAACACTAATCGTAAGTCAAGAGGTCATAAAATTAGAAAAAGATGAGAACGGAAAGAAGAACCAAAAAAAAAAGACATCGACCAGGAAGGAAGGACGATCCGGTTGGAAAATTCCACGGAGTTTGCTTGCGCATCCAGAAGGACGGGACGGGGGGTGTTGTGGTGATGTTTGGAGGCAGAGTACTAGGTAGGGGATCACTGCACCTCATAGAGTTCCATGGCCCGTTGCACATCCTCGAGCGATTCGCGGTCGCCGTACGCCGACATCAGCGCGGCGTTCTGCTCGCGCTGCCGCAGCGCGCGCTGCTCGGTCGCCGAGAGGCCGGGCGTGTAGCTCCCCTGGACGAAGCGCCTGTCGAGGTACGAAGTCGCCGCCGCGCCTGCAAACACCGGGCCTTGGAATCAGTCATTTGATTTGAATCTCACAGACCATAGAGGCGACCGATTGGCTTACCGAGGAACAAGAGGCCTGTCACGGGCAGGAACCAGCGTCCCAAGCGGGCCGTGGACTGTGCCGGCGAAGTCATCTTGGGCAGGTGGTGGTGCGGCTGGTGGAAGGAGACAGGGATGGCGGGGTGCACGCGGGCGGAGGTGGTGAAGGGACGTGGTGCGTTGGGAGCCATTTGAACAGCTTGATTGGAAAAAGGGACCGAGTCTCTTTGAGGAATGGATGCGAATTGGAGCGGGAATGATGTAGATAACCGGAATGTGGCTGTGGCGGTGCTGCGCTCTTTCGGTTGTGCCTTGGTCGGTAAAGGGAGACGGGTCGGTATGTCGGTATCCTCGGTACAGATGTTGGTTTAGTGTGTGTGGTGCGTGGAGCAGGAATAGTCCTGAGATTGTTCGGCGTGATGTGGGTTGTGTTTGGAAAACTGCAGGGCTCGAGAAGTGCGGAGAAGGCTGCGCTGATATACAGCGCCCTGAGTGGGCGGTTTCCAGTCGAGTGCAGTCATGGTCGGGTTACGGTCGTCTGATGCGCAGCCTGCCCTGCAGCTGGCGCCACCTCCGCACGCGACACGCCATACCCCTCCATGCCCAGCTCTCTCGTCTTCCCGTGCAAAACAACCAGCCCGGAACCGTCGCTGCTCCACTCGCACGAATATGCGCCGGAAGCGCTGTCCGTCTGGGCCCGGCCCGAACGAATGACGGCACTGCCATTATTGCATCCCGAGTGCAGCAACGCAAGAAGGTGGAGCGACGGCAGCCCCACCCCGCGCGACCCGTATCACCAGATCAGCACTCGATCGTGGAGTGATCGCGGGCGGCTCCCGCCACCGGCAGATAATGCCTCCGTCCACCACAGCCCTGCCGGTCCCGTCGCGACATGTCTGAAACTCCCTTTTCCAACTGACTCTCTGCTTCCTGCATCCTCCACTACTGCGCTCCGTGTCTGTCTTCCTCACTTCAGTCGCACCGTTGATTGCACATGCACGCCTGTGACGCAAAGCCCCCCATCGACCGTTTCATCAGGAGGAGCCCCATATCACCGGCGCTCTTCGGACATTTCTCGCTTGCTGCAGCAAGAAAGGAAGACTTCAACGGTGGCCTTGCGCGAAAGGGGGGGCGATCCAGGACCCGCATTACCACTGGTGGATCTTGTCCGTCAAACCACCGACCAATCAGCCCAAGACCCAGGTCGAGAAGAGAACCGTCTAGATCCCGCATCAGGACATCTTTCTTTTTTGCTTCTTGTGTTCTTTGCGCGTTTCATCGTCACCCAAGCATTTTGTGGCCGACACAAAACCCTGCTGCTGACCGGCCGGCAAGCGCATGGACTCGCTGGCTGATGACCACCGGGCCGTCCCGACGGCACCTTTTTCGTGCGCCTCCTTCCCTGCGGCTAACGTTAGGTATTATTATTCCACCACTTGCACGCTTTGGGGTAGCAAGTAGCAAGCCACTCTACCCAGCCAGCCCAGCCGGCCAGACTAGTTCAGAAAAGAAAAAAGACGAAATGCACGTGTTTCTTGCCTTTGCCTTGGATGTCTGAACACCGAGCCCGCCCCACCCGTGTAATAAACCCACGTCCGGCCCAGTCTATGCAACAGGGAGAGAAAACGAAAAAAGAACCCCTCTATCGAACAATAATATTCCTACAATAAAAGAAAAACCCTCAAAGCCACGCACGGCATCGACCACCCCTCGCCTCACCCAAGGCCGTGACCGTCCTCATCGTCGTCGTCATCGTCCACGTCCGCAGCCAGCAAGCCCCTCTCCTCCCTCATCAGCGAGTTGCCAGTACTAGTGTTGTTGTGCCGGCCCACGATGTTGCCCGACTCCCTGATCTCGCCGCCCTCGCCGTTCAGCACGAACCAGACGTCCTTCTTCGTCAGCAGGCCGCGCAGGCAGCCCTTCTCGACGAAGACGACGTAGCGCAGGCCGAGCTTGGAGAACATGTTGACGGTGAGCTGCAGGCCGGCGCGGGCGTTGAGCGTGATGGGCGTCTGGTCCATCCACGGGCGCAGGTCGAGGCTGGTCGTCGGGTCCGCGAGGGCCTGGTGGGCGAAGAAGGCGTCGGCGTCGACGCCGAGGTTGCGCGGCGCCGACGTCGCCACCGACAGCGCGTACGCGAGCTCAGTGCGCGAGATGTAGCCGAGGAGCAGCGCGTCGCGCGGGTTGTCGATGATGGGGAAGCCGCGGAACGAGTGCTGCGAGAGCAGGCTGCGCAGGCTCTGGATCGTGTGGCCCGTCGCCGTGATGACGACGAGGTCCTCGATGCGCGTCATCACCTGCGCTGCCGGCACGTCCGGGACCGACGAGCCGTCGTCGTCGCGGTTGTCCAGGAACGGATAGCCGTTGAAGTGAATCCAGGCTTCGTAGATGCCGCGCGGCGAGATGGCGTCGCCCACCCATTTGCTGATCATGACGGCGATCATGATGGGCAGCACGTACGTGAGCGCTCCCGTCAGCTCGAACATGATGACCACGATGGAGACGGTCATGCGCGTCGCGCCGCCGATGGCTGAAGCGGCACCGATGATGGCGTAAGTGCCTGGAGTTATACATGGTACGTCAGGCTCACACGCAGTGAACGGGAATTTGTTCTTGTGCGATACGTGCATGACTCGGACAATGAGTCCGATGGCGCGTCCATAGAGGGCTCCAATGGCCATCGACGGAAGAAGAATGCCGGCTGGCAGTAGAAGCCCGAAACTGACCGCCGCAAGGACAACTCCAAGGACGGCAGAGACCAGTAGAAGCGAGATGACTTCGGTATTGGCTTTTCCTGCCTTGCAGAGACCGAGTTGGTCGTCCATGATATCTTGGCACTCGGCAAATAGCACGTATAGCAGTTCTGTGGCCTGCGCGCGCATGAACTTGATGGGGAAGTTGATCAAGGCCGTCACGAGGCTGACGGCAACCACTTCACGAAGCGGCCCATTGAAAAAGGGGCTGTCGCGTCGTCTTTCAGCTATCTTGAGGTTCAGCTTGATCAAGACGCCACCGTACAGGCCACCAAGGACACCGATGATGGCGTAGGGGACCATCTCAAACCCGTGCCAGCCTGAGTGATAGGTGACTTGGTACATGACAAGTTTGTTTGTCCGGAAGGGATCAAACCAGTGGAGAGCCACCGCGCCGGTCATGGCGCAAACAAAACTCTGCCACATTGTCTTGTCGGGGAAGTAATAGGAGAGGGTCTGGCAACCATAAGCATGCAAAAAATGCAAGGATCGAGTGTTTGACATACCTCAAGACTGAAGAGCACACCTCCGACGGGAGCGCCGAAAGCCACTGAAATACCAGCGGCGGCAGCGGCGGAGAGAACCTCCCGTTTACGTGCTGCAGAGCCGTCAGTAGATGAAGCTGAGCGCGGGGGTATGCTGCTGACCTTCATTGCCGTTGAGATTCGTGAAGAACTTCATGAATAGATTTGCGAAGCAGCAGGCGACATGGACCAGCGGGCCTTCCTTGCCGACCCACAGCCCGGAAGCCACAGAGAGACACTGTTTTACATCAGTCGGTTGCGAGTGCAGGGCGATGCAGGGACGTACCAGGCCAAGTGATTTGATGACCAAAGTCCAGCCGCCCATGAAGTAACGTATGACGAAACCACCCAAAACGGTCTTGATCTCAGGGATGCCACTATGTTTGGCGTATATGGCATGGTTTTTAACCAAGATGGTGGCACATGCCGCAAAGACAACCTGTCAACTGTCAGAACATGACGCGCATCACAAGCTTGGAACGTACAGAGAAAAGCACGAAGAATAGGTATTCGACTATGTAGCTGCTGGCCTTGGAGGTAGCGCCAAGGGCGCTGCTCCAGGGATGCCAATCAGCGCACTGCGCGAGTTCTGAGAGGTGTCAGCGATGAAGGAGGAAAGATGGAAGCAGCGTACCCTCGTATCCCCAGCAGCAGAAGTTCCTGTGCAAGTAGAACTTGCCGTCTCCACCTTCGTTCTGGCAGAAGCCAGTCTTCAGATCGCCCAGCCAATCGCTCACGACGTCGATGCACGCAGAGACTATGCCGCTCGCCAGACCGGTCAGGATGAGCACAATCCAGATCTGACTCGCGTCCCCGATTTGCTTGAGCTGGCCCAGGACGCCAGACGCGCCGGCGTACAGCAACCGCAGGCGCTGGCGCTCCTTTGCGTATTCGAAGATCCAATCAATAGCTGTGAGGTCGTCATAACCCACACGGCGGCCGGGGCCCTCGATGTACCAGTCAACGCCAGAGGAATCCTTCGCATCGTCGTCGACGTGGGCGGGGGCGTTGGGATTGTCGAGGACGGAATTGCTGCGAATGCGGCGGTGCTCGGCGCGCGACGACGAGGGGCGCTGGGTGGGGGTGGATTGGCGCGAGGTGAACAGCTTGGGGAGGGCGGAGAGCGAGAGGCCATTGTTGCTCAGGCTCTTGTTGCGGCGCTTGAACGACACCCTGCGGCGGTCAGCAGGCGGTCGGCGGGGGGCAAGGAAGGGCATCCGTACTGTTCGCGCAAGCCAGGCCCGAGCGGGTCGTCGTCGAGCAGGTTCGCCTCGTCATCGCTGTCGGGGCGGTCGTGGGGCGTCGAGTGGCCGGAGGGCGTGCGGCTGCGGCTCTGGGAAGCTTCGGCGTAGGGATGGGTGTTGTCGCGAGAGCTGGCGGAGGCGGACATGGGCGGTTCGGACAGCTGCTGGCGCGTCGGCAGCAGCGGGCATGCTCGAGAGCGAAGGCAGAGAGTCGGTGCTGTAATGTCGCATTGGCCGGGCTGGCCTGGGGCCCAGCTGTTGCTGTCAGCTCAGCCCTGCGCCCGCCGCCAAGAAGCCCCGGCTCCGGCTGCTGCTTGCCCGTCCATCACAGCCAACCACGCGTCGGCTGCGCACACAAAGGCTTGTGCGGCTTCGCTTTCGTCCTTGCTCTCCCCAAACGCGTCGCTCGAAGCCGCCTTGCTGCTGATCGCGGCCCCTTTCATCTGGCGCAGGGACCCCTTATCCATCACCCGGCCCTCGACGCAGCGTCAGCGTTGACGCGTCGCAACAGCACTGCGCCGTGGGAGAGCAACCACCAAGGAGCTGAACAATCTTGGCGAAAATGCACTACGGCCCGGGAGCTTTGATATACAGATTTCCGGCTACCCCAGACTGATCCCCAGCACGTCATCCCAGCCTGGCCAGTGCGGCGGAACAGACGCCTTGGCGCGACCGTCCGGACCGCCGGCACACTGGGAGCGATCGCCCTTCGCACCAAACTACTTGTTCTCCTCCACCATCTCCACGTGCTCTACGCCGCCTTCGTCCTCCTTGACCGCTCCCACCACCTTGTTGACCTTGCCCACCGTCGCGTCCTTGCCGTCAAACAGCATGGCCACCGCCTCCAGACTCGGGCCCTTTGTCTCAATGAAAAACATGTACACGACGGCAAACTCGACCGCAATCCACGCCACGTAGAACCAGTAGAACTTCCAGTCGAATGCCTCCAGTCCCAGCGGATTCACGTAAGTGTTGAACGCCCCCGCTGCTCCTGTGAGCAACCAGAACAGCGCGATGCCCTTGGCTCTGAGCGTGTAGGGCAGCACCTCTACCACATACACCATCATTGCCCCCGTCCAACCCAGGTTGTGCACCCCGCTGTACAGATAGATGAATGCAACAGATGCATACGATGCCGACTTGGATCCCGACCAGGTCGGGCCTTTCTCAACGAACACTGCCTGTTGTCAGCGCATCCCGCCTTTTCCGGCTTTCTTCTACTCACATCCAGTGCAGATGGTGATCAGCGTGAAGACCAGCCACATGAGCGCCATGCTCAGTAGCAAAAGCGGCCTGCGCCCCACCCGCTCGGGCAGAAACGCAAACGCAACGCTGCACGCCAGACTGAACATCTGACTCGTCGCCGTGATCAACGTCTGCTGCAACTCCGTCTTGATGCCCGCCGAGTTGAGCATCGAGTGCAGGTAGTAGCTGACGAGCCCATTGCCAGACCACTGCTTGCAGATGCCGCACCAGATCATGATGAAGCTACGCCATCGGTTACCCGGCGTGCGCCAAAGCTCGCTCCACTTGGTTTGCTTCGCTGCGATCTCCATCTCGATCGTCGTGCATATTTCGTTGAATTCGTACTGCACCACTGCGTCCTCGCGGTCGCCGTTCGCATGATAATGCGCAAGGATCTGCAGCGCCTTTTCGTGGCGGCCTTTGCTGACCAGCCATCTCGGAGACTCGGGGAGGAAGAGTATACCCACCGCTTGGAATATGGATGGGAGCGCCTGAAAGATTGATGGAACCCGCCATGACCTGCGAAACGTTAGCAGCAGTTACCGCAAGAGCTTGGAACGCCTCACCATGTGCTGCTCATCCGGAAGCTGCCAAAGGTAATCCACGATGCTACAATTGCGCCCGTACTGTACTGAGTGTTGGACATGGCCGTTGCTGTAGCACGATGGCTGGGGTAGGCCAGCTCGGCCATAAGCACAGGTCCGATAGCTCCGACTATCACCCCTCCTATTCCAAGTAGGAGACGGCCGGCTATGAACATGCCCGCTGCCTTTCGTCAGCATCGACTCGAATTTGAGTCGAAGGAGCTCACCGTTGATAGATCCGGTGGTAAGGGCGGTTCCGACAATGCAGATCAACGATCCCAGCAACATTGCTGTTCGCCGACCAAATCCGTCGGAGAAGGCAGTGATGAAGAAAACTCCAAGGATGTTACCGATCCAGTATGACGCACTCAAAATTCCCAGCAGGCTGCCCTGGGGATGATTGAATTCTGGTAAAGGCATGAGAAGCTCGTCGTGACTTCGTATGTCGGGTCCAGTACTCACCATTCTGCCAAGTCTCCAGTTGCTGGACGTTGTTGATCAAACTTGCGTCATAGCCCTGGACATACTCCGACATCAACGGGATAAAGAGAAGCAGGTTGAGTTTCAGCAATCCGCGATCCTTCCACCAGTGGCCAGTCTTGTTGTCCAACGGCGTCGTGGCGGCCAACGCCTGCCTGTCCGTCTGTGCAGTCTTGTGGGCGTGCATCTTCAATCAAAACCGGAATACCACGACGGACCAGAGGATTCCGGCACCAGGAAGCTTATAACGACACCAAGCAATGGGGCGGCCGGCGTGGCACAGCGCCTTCTGATCCTGCGACTGCCTCTTCCCTCCAATATTGCAGCTAAGAAACGTGCCAACATAATCCCGCCGCGCCGCACGCGCTATGCCACGTACAGGCGGTGCCCCGCAATCTGCATGCCATAATAGGCTGTGATATGGGGTAGGTTGCAGCTCGTTGTGGTTTCTCCGGGTATCGCTTCGTGTGGGGGTGGGGCAGCCGTAGGATCAGCACAGTGCGTCAGCGCATACCTTGCTGCATCCTATATCCCGCCATTAGCCTCGCTACATCTCCAGCCGACCGATAATACTGATTTTTTCCGCTTGGCCTGGCTCGCTCGCTTGCAAATGTGCACCACGTGTCACACTCCATTGAACAAAACGAAAGTGCGGGGTGCCATGTGAACTTCCACCGGACCTCAACCAAGCTCTGGCTGTTGCCCACCAGGGACGGTTGTGGCGTTGTACTTCGCTACCATCTTTGCTTTCTTTCTTGTTTCCAAGCCTCATCCAGTGAGCCACAGCAATGCCTTCGAACGGGCATTTTTCCGGCCTGAAAACGACCATCAGCGTGCTCGGAGACGATCCACCGCGCACGCACCGCATCAATGCCAACTCGTTCCAGCAGAACGCGCTGCTAACGGTGAACAGGTGGCAGTACGCCGCTTTCTATCAGAGCAAAGATGGCGCTGGGGACAGCAATGCTTGCTACCCAACACTTGCTCGGCGGTTCCTTCGCTCCTCGCCTGGAGAGGATGACGGGCAGTGGGAGTATCTGGTTTTCGACGACTACGAGCAGACGACCGATGACGGCCACAACACCATCTCCATCGGCATCTGCACCGGTGATGGCACAATCCACGTCTCATACGATCACCACTGCGATCCGTGCGCCTCTCTCTCCCTCCCCCTCTCTCTCTTTGCATCCACTGACGAACGAGAACCACAGACTTCGATACCGCTACTCAATCCAAGGCCTCGCAACACACCCCACCTCCCACGCCTGGACCGCAGCCCTCTTCACAACGACATCCAACACCCTCCCGGGCTTACCCCACGCGTCCTACATGGACGAAGTCTCGTACCCGCGCTTCGTCAGCGTCAACGACGACCTCCTCCTAACCTACCGCATCGGGCAAGCGGGCTGCGGGTCCGACACGCTGCACCGCTACTCGAGCAGCACGCACCAATACCTACCACCACCACCACCACCACCATCCTCCCCGTCCTCCTCCCCGTCCTCTTCCTCTCCCTCCCCGCCGATCCTCCTCGCCGGCGGCGCCGCCAGCTCCCCCTACATCAACGGCCTCGACCACGACCCCCGCCGCAACCTCCTGCACGTCAGCTGGACGTACCGCGCCTTCGTCGCGTACGCGGGCGCGCGCGACCCGCGCTCGGCGGCGCACAAGCGGCAGGCGGGGCCGAACGGGCCCGAGAACAACTACGATCTGTGCTACGCGTGGAGCGCCGACGGCGGGCGCGTGTGGCGGGGCGGGCGCAGCGGCGGGGAGGGCGTCAAGGTGGCGGATTTTGGGGGCAAGGGCGAGGCGATCGCGCCGCCGGGGGTGGGGGAGGGGACGCATACGCGGGCGTTTGGGATCGAGAGGGGGAGTGGGGTGTTGAATCAGGAGGGGCAGTGCGTGGAGATTGGTGGGGGGTTTTTTGTGTTGAATAGGGAGAGGTGGGCGGAGGGGGTGGAGAGGGTGGAGAGGTGGGTGGTGTATTGGAGGGGGGTGGAGGGTGAGTGGGCTTGGTTCTTTTTTTGCTTTTTGTTTTGGGTCGTTTTTTTTTTTTTGGCTGCGGGATGGAAGGAATGGTGTCGCTGACGTGAGAGATGTAGGGTCCTGGAATCGCAGTCCGATTGACGGGTACTCGCCCACCGAGACGGGGTCGAGAGGGAGTGTTTGCGCGGACAGAGACAGCAACGTTTACGCCATCTTGCCGGGCAACACCGACTCCTCCCTTTCGATTGTCAAAGCGTCTGTGGCGGAGGAGGGGCATCTGCGGTTCGAGACGGTGTGGAGGCAGGACGGGTTTGACGGCGAGCCGCTGGTGGACCAGCCGAAAATGGACGAGCGAGGCATCATATCGATTTTCACGAGAACCGACAGGGGTGCGGATGGGAAACGCAAAGTTGTGGTCATTGACGTGGAACTGGGGTAGGGAACCTAAATGTAGGACATGGTGTCGATGTGACGTAAGGCATGCGTTACCAAGTACGGCTGGCGGTTGCAACCGCAGGCGTTGAACCTCCGTTGATAACTCCGCAGCGAGAATTGCACTGCACGTCAATTCTCCTTCCGATTCTTTCTCTGCTCCTTTTCTGGAGACTCCGTTGCGCCAACAATGCAGGCCTCGAAGTTGAGCACGTTGTCTGTCCCTCCGTTGACGGTTGCACCTCGCGCGGCCCGCCAGTGTGGGTTTTCGTCACCCGCAGCTCGGCTGCTGTCGACGCGGTCGAGACCAAGCTGCAGCCAGCCCCGCAAACTGAGCAGCGTCACCACGTCGAATGCATTGCCGCTGTCTGCTTCGAAAGCCTTCCAGTGCATCGAGTATGGACGCCCCTTCTCCACGGGTGCGCCTTCTGTAAGTGACATCATCCTTACTACATGTCATCATGACTGGCGGAAGCTGCCCCTCCTGCGGCCGTGCGACCCCCCTACGTACCTTCCCTTCTTGTTATTTAAAAGCCTGCTCTCTCATTCTCAAGCCACATTCTGAACCACAACCTCAACTCTGCCACCGACTAATTACACACCTCACTGACACTCTCGACACCAAGATGGCACCCTCCAACAACAACCAGGACTTCCAGCTCAGCGAAGTCTTCAATGTCAAGAACAAGGTCGCTCTCGTTACTGGAGGCGGCTCGGGGATCGGCTTGATGGTATGGATACATCACCCACCTCGGATCAGTCATGTGCCGCCTCGCTAATTACTACGCAGGCCACCCAAGCTCTTGCCGTGAACGGTGCCAAGGTCTACATCGTCGGCCGCACCAAGGAGAAGCTCGACAAGGTTGTCGAGGTATATGGCAAGGATATCCCCGGCGAGATCATCCCGCTCGTCGGCGACGTGACGGACAAGGCAGGCGTGGAGAAGCTCGTCAAGGAGATCGAGTCGCGCGAGAAGTGCCTCTGCATCCTAATCAACAATGCTGGCATCGCCGCTGAAAAGACGACGCCGGACGGCGAGAATGCCGAGGAACTGAAGAAGAACCTGTTCGAACCCACCACGTAAGCCATTCACCCGTCTTCAAGTCATTCATTGTGTTGACGTGTGCCTCCAGCGTCAAGGAATGGACGGATATCTACGCCACCAATGTCGTTGGCCCTTACCTCATGGCCACGGCCTTCCTGCCTCTGCTGCAGCGCGCGACGGAGCACCAGCACGGCTTCTCGGGCACCATCATCAACATCACGTCCATCAGCGGCATGATCAAGATCTCGCAGGGCCACTTCTCGTACAACGCCAGCAAGGGCGCCTTCATCCACCTCAACAAGATGCTAGCGTCGGAAGTGGCCAAGGCCGGTCTGAAGATCCGCATCAACAGCATCGCGCCCGGCGTCTTCCCGAGCGAGATGACGACTCAAGAGAGCGGCGAGGACCAGAAGAGCACGATTCCCAAGGAACACAAGGCCGGCCTACCTTCGCAGAGGCCCGGCAACGACAGGGACATGGCGAGCGCCATCATCTTTGCCGCTACCAACCAGTACCTCAATGGCCAGAACTTCGCCGTCGACGGCGGCTACACGATACAAGTCGGACAGTAGGCGGGTGCCATGGGATTTGCGTATGAAGGACATGTATGATTAACAAGTAAGAACTCATGAGCACAACTCGAGCGTTGTCAGCCAAAGGAACTATATCGTCGATGGCAATATTATAGGTCTTGTCTCTTTCTCCCCACTGATTTCATATCATGATCCGCCAGACTATTGCCCAGACAGGAATTTCGACTCCAGCGAAAATCTCACCAGTGTCACTGAAAAGGCTGATGGCGTAAAGAAAAAAAAAAAAAGCTGCTATGTACTGGTTGTTGTGGAAGCGAGGACTCGAAACAGTGGGGAAACAGCGTCGACAGTGTGCCTGACTACCAGGATCTCTGCGGTGGATGTTGCCGCAACCTGCCTGGGCACATCCACTATAAAGACTGTGGCGGTGTCTCGGCCGAGCGACGGGACGAAACAGTTGAGACAGTGGCTGCAGATAGCAAGGCTGCTGCCTCCAGCCTGTCACTCACCACACAGCATCCAACCACCGCAAGACAGCGGTCTGAATCCTCCGGAGACGCACATGTTTGTGGTACACACACTCTAAACACCGATCTTCCTCCGCTAATCTCCCCGCCCTAGCGCGTGCTATATGGCTGAAATGGAATAATGCAGTAGTGCTCAAAAATAGAATTGGGCGCACGTCGGCAAGGCTGCCAAGAACGCCGGCGCGGTCCAGCTCCAATGAGCCGTGGATCCGCAAAACAAATTGGAGGCGCCCTGCTGCAAGATAGAACGTGGGGGCCAGCCTTGAGGCAAGGATTCCGGCCTTAGGTAATATCTTAGCGCCGTTTTGCGACCCGTCCAACTGCCTGATCTACATGTACGCTTACCGCCGCAATCTCTACCTCGTCGCGCAACTATCTACCTTCTTCCACGGCACCGGAGCAGTCACTCATGCATCCGCCATGTTTTCGCAACTCAGATCCAACTTGACCAGGCGCAGAGATCCGAGGGCTCACCTGGAGTTCAGCCGGCAGGCCTCACTCATTGGCTAAAGCCTGCCATGTCGCTAACATTGCCCCCTGCAGAGTGAACAACCCTTCCTTTGAGCTTTCCGACACTTCATATGCTTCCTTCCAGCGCGCCGAGGAAGGCAGACGCAGCAGCACGGCCAAGACGCCCAGCGGCGTCAATGAAAATGACGCTCAAGAGTCATGGTCGCTCGTTGGGACAGAAGCTGCCATGCCCGAGCAGAGAGAGGCTACGCGACTAGGCTCAAGCTGGTGGAAACGAGAGATGCTCGTTGACCGCAGCCTCTGCGGCATGGCCGCCCTAACCTCGCTTTTTGCTTTCATCATGCTCGTTGTCTGCATCTCCGCCTCGCCCAAATTCACCCAGCAACTCGAAAGGAACCCGAACTCGACTTCCATAGCCTTCCAGCAGGGCTCTTGCAAGTCCGTCGAGCCGGGCTATCAAGTCTGACCAACCGTTCACCTCATATGGCGGTCAACATCCTGACTCTTTCACAGGCCTTGAAATTCTTGATCAATGTTGCCTCCACCATGATCCTCGGCATGTCAAATACATACCAGCAGCTTGCGACCGCCTTACGAGTCGACGACGTCGCCTACATGCTGTCCAAACACGGTGATTGTCGCGTGGGCACAAACTCGCCCTTTGCCATCAACTACAAACGTACCGACCGCTTGAAGTCCTGGCTTAGCTGGACGCTGCTGATACTGACCTCTATGGTACTCTCCACCGTCCCACTCCATCTCCTTCTGCCTCGCTGATGTAACAGCCCATCCATTTGCTCGCCAACTCTCTAATCGGTACATCGACCTATCGGACAAGCCCGACAGTCTCGTACGCACCACAGTCCAACTTTACACAGTGGAGCTCAAGCTACCAAGACGGTAATTACTATTACTACCCTAATTCCGTCTACAGTAGTGTATGTCTCACTGCCTTCAATGAAGGGTCATTTGACAGTCTACTGGCCAAGTGGACCAATGACTCCGACTTGGTTGACGAATGGAATAACTACATTGGAACAACAAATGTAGTCAATATCTACTACGATGCAGAATTGTGCGAAGAAAGGAACAGAACCAAGTCAGCAAACTGCACTCTTAGCCAGATAGAGTGCTTGGACGATTCTACCTCGACAGGCCAAAAAGATTGCACTCTCGTCTTGCGCATGCAGCCCGCCTTGATTTTGACAGGCTGTCTCTTAGCGAAAGCTATCTACATGGCCCATACCATGTACTCGGCACGTGGCCAGGTAAAGTCCCACCTTCTGAACTTTGGCGATGTGCTTGTCGTCTCCTCGCTGTATCCCCGCCTTCAGGTTCACGGGGAGTGCATGACGAGTAAAGGCGACTTCCACCGGCGACAGATCAAGCATACTTGCCACAAGCACTGCAAAGATCCAGACCCGTCAGACACAGGAGAAGAGCTGGGCCACTGTCAGGAGTGCAAAAAGTTCAACGTGGTTTACAACCACACAAAATTGCCATGGCCAACGCTAGCCATGAAACGAAAGAGAGCCTTTCTTGGAACACTCGGTCAGACTGCTTTGACCCAAATCCTTCTCCTGTGTCTGTTGTCTGTTGGCTCTCTGACTTGGTCCATCATGCTCGGCCTCTCGGTCGGTAGTGACTGGAAAGGCATGTATACCGGCAAGAACGCATCAACACCGCACGTCAGCCTGGTGGCATATCTTAGCAGGAGCTTTGGTTTGGCTGCACTACCTCCCAACCGGATCAGCAGCGAAATCGCTTCGTACTTCATCTCCAACGGCCTGCAGTTTGTCTACTCGACCATCTACCTGCTACTCATCTACAACCTCACCCTCATCTCCATGGAGTTCGACTGGGGCAAGCTCGAAAAGTTCGGCGGCCGGCTGCGCTGCACCATCGTCAAGGACCGACCTTTCAACCAGTCTTACCTGCTCCAGCTCCCAAAACGAATTCTCATCCCGACCATGACCTACAGCATCATAATGCATTGGCTTTTAGGCCTGTCAATGCAAACCGAAGAAGTCATCTACGAGGCGTCGGAGCGTTCCTACTCCCAATACACGGTAATGCGAAGAACATGTGAAGCTGATTTTGAAAGTCTGGCTAATGGACCCCTCGCAGGTAAAATGCGTGCCGAACGGACTCTTCGGCTCGACGACGATGCTGATCGCCATGACAATCACTTGTTGGCGCACTTTCTCCTATCGCCGCGAGGGCTTCGTTCCGCAAATGTACGGATCGATCAGGGTGTTATGCGCGTCAACGACTCACTTGGATGATTTCAATGATGATGGCCACGTCAAATGGGGTGATTGTAAGTGTCGACTTCGTTTTCTCCTTTTATTCTCTTCGTTAACCTTTTCTCCCCTACTATCTCGTGACTTACTCATGCCTACGCAACGCTGCACCGAGGATACGTGTCCCGCATTGATTTCTCACAAAGCCTGTATTCGAACTGACCCAACACCTTTCGCCCTATTTGACTTGAAACTTCTACATACTGCAACATTTGTGGACAGTGCGCTAACAACTGGCTGCAGTGGGACAAGGCGAGGTCTTCCGGCGTGCTGGTTTATCGTCCAAGCCGGTGGGAAAGATCGTTCCAAATGAGCTGTATTCATAGGTCACCGTGAAAACGGCGGGCAATGTCATATTTCGTGAGAAACTTTTCGCGAAAAAGAAGTAGTACAGGTGGAAAGGGTCTGATGTTAATGGATGTCCAAATAGACATTATGAGTTCCAAATGCTTCATTCTCCGATTTATATCCAGTCCGGTGACAATATTCCTTCAAACGCACACTGGTGCGCACTCAGTTCGTCGCAATGCTCGTACACGACATACTGCATCATATCACCTCCGCTCGACCTCATCCTCAGCTTCCATCATCCCCCTTGGTGTCACTTTCCTCCGGCCCCGCGATTATCCTCCCTCCCTCTCCCGATGATATACTGCCTTTTCACACCCAACCACCTTTAGAAAAGTCATCCGCGGGAGTTTCTCCAACCTTCTTCCTATCTCAGCATCAGAGAGAGTGTTCCAAACGTCCGCAGCGCGCGAGGAGAGGAGGTAGCGCCGCAACAGATGGGATACCTTTTCCTCTCATTAGGAAAACAGAAGACGATATTGGAGGCCGTTACTAAGTTTTCAGTCTCATAAGAGAAGGAATCATATGGTGGTTGGGCACTTGGGGAGTTAGGGAGAACACGTTTTCCCGGGGGGAGTGAATTGGACATGGTCGCCGGGTTGGTGCCTTGCGGTTGAACATGGGCCGCCACGCGCCACAGAAGGGGAGATAAGTCAAGCAATTTCATTAATTATGTTGAAAGGAAGGTTTCGTGACTGAGCTACAACACTGCCGTTGTACGCATGTCGTTGAAAGAAAGACAACACTAGTGGTGGAGAGCCCAGCGCCAAGGCGGGTGCTCCCTAGACAATACCGGTAGTGCTTACAAGGATTGGTTCATGCTTGGCTTCGAATTATATGGGGATCGATGACGTGGATTTGTTTCTTGAGCATACTTCGTCTCTCCGTTTAAGGCTCTGCCACCCCCCGAGTCTTGCTCAGGATCGGGCTGCCGAACCTGTCTGGATGAGCACGAAGCGCACCACTTTCGACCAAGATGACCTGACCACCTGGAATTGCCAGTTCACATACAAGACCGTAAAAGCCTCGAATAGCAACTGCGAAAAGAAGTCGAAGGTCGGACAAGGGGTGTCTAGTGACGATCGCCGGGTATCTTCTACGCACTATTTCGAATTCTCCGCAGGGGGAGCATATCGTTTAAATCGTTGCTTCGCCACCATGCTTGTTTCCGAAACGCATTCTCGTCGAATCAAAGGTGCATGCGCCGAGAAGGCTGAAACGCGCGCGAAGGGGCGAAGCCGACGAGCTACGTGCGGGTGTGGATAAGCGTGGGGCTGCGCAGTTCAGCTGGCCTCGATTCGATCGCGCAGCCCCCACCACATTATTGAAAAGCTGACGGGTGCGCCGCCGTCTTTTCAGCCAAACGAACACTCTCATCCTCGAGACCTTTCGTTGTTCAGCTCGTCGCATTCACGGCTGGAACAATGGCGGATCCTCTCAGCATCGCTGGAAGCATCATCGGCGTCGCTGCGGCTGGAGTCAAGGTGTCGTTGATGCTCTACCAGTTTGCGGACGAGGTCGGCTCGGCGGCCAAGGACGCGAAGCATATCGGCAGGGAGATCTCCAACTTTTGCTTCATCCTCCGCATCCTCGGGACGACGCTCAAGGAGGCGGATGCGGCGTCGGTGATGCACTGCAGGGATGTGGCCGAGGAGATGAACGAGCGGTGCTTGACAATGTTCATCGAGATCATCGAGCTGGTCCGGGACCTGCAGAGGTTCGTCGGTGGTCCTGGAGAGAACAGCTTCAAGTGGACGGCAAAGATCAAGTGGGCGCTTCAGAAGCCCAGGATCACCTATCTCCGCGCCAGTCTCGACACGTACAAGACGACTCTCAATTTGATGCTGGAAACGTTGAGTCTTGCAGACAGGGTGGCGAAACGAAGGTAACATGGCATCGTCACTGCTGCTGCAACAGTCTACTAACGGCTTTCAGGATGAGACGGTCCAGTGTGGTTGATAAAGACAACGATATGCATCAGCAGAGCCTGATTCAGAGTCTCGAACAGGCGCACCGCGCCTCCATAGCGGAGCTCCAAGAGCTTGAAGAGCAAACGCTCGTGGATGGAGAAGAGCAGTATCTCGATGCTCCAGAGGACGACGCTTCCAACCACGAAGTCCTTCGAGATTCGTACGTCTCGACTGCCTCGGCTGAAAGGTTCTCCATGATTGAGTCTGTGAGAGAAGATCTCGAATCCTTGCGGGTGAATAGAACGAGCACCTTCAGCTTTGAAGTCTTGTCCACGAGAAATTCTCTCTGGTTGTCGGAAGAACAGAATAACTTGAGAAGATGGTCGTCCAATCTTCTTGACCCTTCAAACGAGCCATCGAACAGGCGCAATTCTCGCCGTTCACTCGACCCGAGACGATCCAGGAGGACGACTCAAATGTTTGACGGAGTTCTCCAAGCTTCGCCGCCACCCACCATCGAGGAGACCGAAAACAATCTCGAAGACGCAGAATCCGCATCCATCATCAACAACTTCAAAGACTGGCTGGCCACCCTTTCTTCCGAGGACCGGTACAAAGCCTGGAGCAGCATTCTCCCCGTCATATTGCGATCTCCCCCGCCTTCGGATCAAGACGACTGGCCATCAGGATTCGAAACGGAGGCGTCCGACTCTAAACCAGCACTCCAGATCAGCAGGCCTGCAATTCCTGCTTGCTTACCGGCCAAACAAGCTCTACCCCTTCCACTGGAATCAAAAATGCCCCCAACACCTCCTTTGGGCCCATCCAAGCGTCCGGACGAGAGTCCAGGGGAGACACCAGAGGAGGAGCCATCCAAGCGCCTGGAAGAGAGTCTAGGGGAAACACCAGAAGAAACCCTATCTAAGCGCCCAGAAGAGAGTCCAAGGGAAACACCGGAGAAGGCCCCACCCAAGGGCCCGGAGCAGAGTCCGGGGGGAACACCAGAGGACGCCCCAACCGAGCAATCGTCAGATGTGCAAGACGGGGAGCCTTTCAAGACATTCCGCGTCAGTATCGATGACCCTACTTACGCAGTGTTACCGGTAGCGCTCAAGAGATGGAACATCACCGAAGACTGGAGGCTGTACGCCTTGTATATCGTGTACGAGGACCAGGAGCGTTGCTTGGGATTGAACGAAAAGCCCTTGGCTATGTTCAAGAATCTTGTCAGAGAGGGCAGATGCCCAATGTTTATGCTTCGGAAACACGTCGCGCCGGTGCACGGGTTTTCTATCACCAAAGAGGCCCCTGGGTTGGAAGACACTGGCCGCACATATCCACAGACTCTGGCACCGTGGAACGTATTTTGAGTGTATGTGATTGTTTATCGGTTAGGGATGTTCATATCCGCATCGAACTTACTAATTCATGTTTTAATATTGGTCTAAAAAGCTGTGAGTATGTTGACATCAGTGGACGCATCTTACCGAAGACCACGGTAAAAGTGGTAAAGCATGCCTTTCTTGAGATCCGCCGCGGGATCGTCGACGATGGCCCTGGAGGCCATGATCCCACATGATAGCAGCGGAAGCCATTTGACAGCGAGTAAGAAATAAGGCCTGAGTTTAATGAAGAATATGAGTAAGTGAGGAGCGAGATGAGGAGGAAGTCCATGAAGCAGACGGACGGAATGTGTCGGACGTCTAGCGAAGACCGTTGAACGCATAGAGCGCACCATGTGAGTCATGGCCGAGCATGACGCCGGATAGTGGCCTTTCGAACCTTGCCATGGACAAGGTGAGAGCATCAACAACAGCAGCCCCACAAAATACTACTTTCGCATCACATTGTCTGACTCACACGTCCAAAGCTCAGGGCTGCGAAAGACTGCCGAACTCCTACTTCTCCCGACGTCCTCGTAGCGCTCGGTTATTCGGCCAAGCTACCCCAGAAAGGCAGTCAGCACTAACCACTCCCTCCAACTATATATTCATCCGCACCACGACCCGACCTCACCTCAACACCTCCTAAAAACCCACCACAAGCCCTCCGATTCCTCCAGCTCAGCAAGCCAACCCAGGGCAACCATGTCCGCCCCCAGTACCAGTCCCCCCCGCCCCAAAGCCATCATATTCGACCTCCTCACCGCCCTCCTCGACTCCTGGACCGCCTGGACCCTCGCCCTCTCCACCGCCCTCAACGAACCCGAACCCACCACCCCAACCCACGACCTCGCCACCCACTGGCGCCACACCTACCTCGCCCTCACCTACACCCACAAAGGGCCATACACGCCCTACGCCGCCCTCGTCCACCTCGCCGCGCAGCAGACGCCCGGCGTGCCGCCGCGCGCGGCCGAGGTGCTGCTGGAGAATTACGTGGCGTGGTTGGCGCCGTGGCCGGAGGCGCGGGCGGTGTTGGGGAGGCTGCGGCGGGAAGGGTATGCGGTGGGGGTGGCGACGAATTGCAGTGAGGTTTTGGGGAGGGGGGCGGCGGGGGTGTTGGAGGATGGGTGTGGCACTACTGCGACGATGAAGACGGCGAGGTCTGAGGGTTTGGGGCGGGAGGAGGGGGAGGAGGAGGACGGTGACGAGCGGGAGGGTCGTGGTGGGGGGAGCGCGGGCTTCGTCTTCGACGCCGTCGTCACGGCCGAGGAGAGCGGGTGGTACAAGCCGGCGCCGGGCGCGTACGCGGCGGTGCTGGACCGCCTGGGCTGCCGCGCGGATGAGGTGGTGTTCGTGGCGGGGAGCGCGGCGGATGTGCCGGGCGCGAGGGGCGCGGGCATCGAGCGGGTCGTGTGGCACAATCGGGTGGGCATGGAGGCGAAGCCCGGGGCGGAGGGGTTGGCTGAGAAGGAAGGGGCCACGTTGTGGGAGGTTTTGGAGGGGGTGGTGTTGTGATTTGGTTGGTCAAAAGGCATCGATGAAGGTTTCGTGGAGGTTGGTTGTTGGTGGTCAATGGATGTGTACGGCTGTGCGAATGTAGCATCAATCATGTTTCTCCTCTCTTATTGGAAAAGCCGAAGTTGATTTAACAAGTCCAAGACCGCGGATGATATCCCTCTACGCCGTTTTGATCCCATATATCATTCGATTGAAACCACTCATCTTCGCTCCCAAACCCAAAGCAAACGACAAAAGCCAAAGCATATATGTTGGAAACGATGGCTTTGGTGCGCAAATGTACAGTGAGCTTACCTAGCTCGGCGCACCAGCAGCTGTCATCCATCAGCCGTACCATCCGCGAACGGACTGGGTGGGCTGTTCGTCTTGACGGTGGGCAATGACAGGCTCCTGGATGTTGAAAGCCTCGATGAACTTCTGCCACGTCTGGTAATCAATGCTGAACACGGCTTGATGTCTCGAGACGTTCTTGGCACCTTGTTCGTTGAGCCCACGTGATTCAGAAGGGCCTGTACAACATTAACACGTAATTTTCGTCGGGCACGGACAAGACTCACAGATGACGGGCAAGCCATGCTTGTCCTTTCCCACCCTCACGCTACCTTCACGGATGAGAAAGCTGGTGTAAAAGAGGTTCTCCACAGTCTGGCCGAACGATTGCGGATTGATGGTGAATTCGAAAAGTGACATGGCTGGATCCTCGTCCTCGGTCTGCGTGATTCCATGTTTCTGCATGACGTCTTCAATGACATCCTCGGGCGGATCACCGGGATAGTCGCTCAGTTCGTCGTTGACTGCATCCTGTCGGCGGTCAAGCACAGACATGAGCTCTCCGCGGATCTTCTTGACCAGGGTGACCAGGTTGGAATTCTCTGGACGTTGAATGTCCTCTGCCACAAGCGACTCGGGCCGTCTCTCGAGCTGTGGGTCTCGCCGAAGACGAGCGCGCCTTTGCGTTTGCGTGGCCCTCACGCGCTTCTGCACAGAGAGCGGGCCCAGGAGAAAGCCCGGGACTGGAGGACGCCTGTTGTTCTGGAAGCATGCGCGTTCACCCAAAACGTCCCAGGCAAGAGCGTCGCCAGTCTCCTCCTGCTCGTCATCGCTGTCGACGTCGGCACGCCTCGCTCGTTTCCGCACACGTGCTTGGGTGGAAGCAGCTTGCGTGTTCACCTGGTCGTCTTCTCCCACATAGCCGTTGTTCTGCATGAAGAGAATGCATTTGGACACGAACTCGTCTACGTCAACGCCAGTGGAATTGGCTCCCATGACCATGGCTGTGGTTTTCCTCAGAGTCAGGTCACTGGCCGCCACCAGGAAGCGGGCGTCGAGGGTGGCGTCGGCAGTCTGCTTCACTCTGTTCATCAATGCATTGGATCTCTGAATGTACCCGACAAGTCTGTCATTGTTGCCAGCCATGAGCGCATCACGGTCATCTGCAGTGCGTTAGCTTGGCCCGATTTGACTGACGATGTGGCTGACCGGTAAAGTCGCGTAGGTGAGCGCGGAGGTCTCGACGCAGCTCGCGCCGCTCGTCGGCATTCTGGTCGGGGTCATAGTACTGGAGATCAACAATGGGCTCGCCGTTGGCTGTCGTCGCGACTGACACGTCGCGGTCTTGCAGCCTCCTCCGCTTGCTGGAGCGTGATGTCTCCGTGTCCGACGTGGGGGTGGGAATGGACGGTGGGCGCATTGGCGCCTTGCCCTTATCCATGCGGGTCGGTTGGCCAGTGGGGTAATTCTCCTTGTCGCTGGATGCGTCGGGAGGTGAGGCTATGGTGGAGTAGGCAGTGTGAGAGCGGGCACCTCGGTGACGCGTCGACACGTCGGCGTCCGGCGTGCGGTCGCGATAGATTGAGTCGACGTCGGGAGTAGACGCCGGAACGCTGTTGTTTAACCGTGCCATGGCGACGACGGGACAGATTTGTGCGGGAGACGCGGCGGAGCGACGCGTGACAGAAGGGCCAACAAAGGCGGGAGCACGACTGCGAGGCAGATATCCGAAGAGGCAGATCTAATGGAAAGCGCCGCGATGAGGCGACTGCCTTTCTGACCGATCCGATGCGTTGTCGCGGGATGTTGCAGGCGGCGGGGAGCGGCAACGCGCTGCTGACGTTGGTGAGGCTCGGGCGCGACCGCGACGCGATCTGGAGTGTGGGCCTGCGGAAGTGCATCGGGCGAAGCTACCTCACCGCCTGGCCCGTGCCCCTGCTAGGCTGATGCATAGCTCGACAACCACCTGCACCCCGCATCCCCGCCTACCCACACCATGGAGCCTTTTTCCTTCGCAAGCTCGTCGGCCCTCGAGCTGCCCGTCCATGTGAGGATGTCGGTCGTCCGTTCCTGACGAGCCCGAGCCGCTGATGCTAAACCGCCACTAGAAACAACCTCGACGGCCACCAGAACCCCATCGCGTTTTCTACCTTGCTGAAGCACCCTGAACTGAGACATAGAGGCTCAAACATCAGGCAAGCCCCATCGCATGCCGACGCCCGAGTTGGGCCCGTCTAACCCACAACAGCCCTCACTCAGAGCTCTTCGTTACCGCGCAGCTATGGGCCGACAGCAAACCGCTCACCGTCCCGGTTCAGACCAGCTACAAGTCCTTCAAGTCCAGCCGCACCTGGAATGAGTGGTTGACCCTGCCCATCTCATACGAGACTATACCGCAGTCATCCCAGCTCGCCATCACCGTATGGGACCTCTCACCGACCGAGGATAGCCAGATCCACGCCGCACCTTTTGGAGGCACCACGATACCTCTCTTCGACAAGGACAACACTTTGCAGAAAGGCAGACAGAGATGTCGTATTCACCTCCAAAAGGCTGCCGACGGCCTTTCATCCTCGACTACTCCCCACCTCATCCCGCCCCGCCGTCGCAACCGCAGGAGTGGAAAGCTCGCCGAGGAGGCGGATCCCGACATGACCGAGATGGAGCGCTTGGAGGTGCTGATGAAAAAGCATGAGATGGGAGAGATACCCGAGGATAGATGGCTGGACCAAATGGTTTTTCGCAAAATGGAGCAACTTGAGCGCAGTACCTACCGCAGCGGGCCCAAGTACGGAAGGAAGGATGCACCAAAGCCCGACGGGCCCGATGACGAAGACGGCTCCGACGAGGAGAGCCTTGACGAGGACAAGTTCTTCATCTACGTCGAATTCCCCCGTTTCGATCATCCCATCGTATTCACCGACCGCGAATATCCGGCCCCGCCTGTTTCCACTATGCAGCAGTCGTCATCCATTGGCGACGTGCGCCTGAAGCCTCCTCCGGAAGTCTCGTTTGGCCCAGGAATCAATGGCGGTGTCAACGATGACGATCCTGAAATCGGCAGGCTTATCAGGATCTATGACCCGGAAGTCGGCATTCGGGACAACCCTGCGGAGAGCAAGCATAGGAGACTGGTGCGCAACCATCGCACAGGAGTCATGGATCGCGATATGAAGCCAAACGCCAAGGCTCGCGATGAACTGAACGTCATCATGTCATACGGCCCCACGCATGAGCTAAGTTCCGACGACAAGGACATGGTGTGGAAGTTTAGACACCATTTGACAAGAGACAAGCGTGCCCTCACCAAGTTCGTCAAGTCTGTGTCTTGGCATGAGCCTGGCGAAGCCCGACAAGCAGTACAACTCTTATCAAAATGGACCGATATTGACGTGGATGATGCTCTCGAAATCCTGGGGCCCATGTTTGATCACCCTGCTGTCCGCTCCTTCGCCGTTGATCGGTTGCGCAAGGCCGACGACGGCGAGTTGCAGCTCTATCTTCTTCAGCTCGTGCAGGCATTGAAGTTCGAACCTGTCGAAACCGATTCAGATGGCGAACCTGCTCAGCATTCATCATTGGCTCGATTCCTGATCAATCGTGCTTCCGGGAACCTGAAGCTGGGCACCTTCTTCCACTGGTATCTCATGGTAGAATGCGATGACCGCAGCCCGGAGCAGGGCACGGAGCACCGAAAGCTTTTCGCCAAGGTAGAATATGACTTCATGACGACTCTCATGGAAGCCGAGGATGGCCCAGCCAAGCGCAAGATACTGCTCAGGCAAGGTGAACTCATTACCGTCTTGTCAAAGATTTCCAAGGAAATCCGGTTCTCGAGAGATGGCAGACCGCAGAAGATTGAGAGCCTCAAACAATTCCTTGCTGACCCCAAGAACGACCTCATGAACATCGACCCACCCCTACCTCTTCCCCTGGATCCAACCGTCGAGGTCGTCAGCGTCTTTCCCGACGACTGCAACGTCTTCAAGTCCTCACTGTTCCCGCTTCTCATCAACTTCAAAACAACGACGGGCGCAAAGTATCCAGTAATCTTCAAGACCGGCGATGACCTCCGCCAGGATCAGTTGGTCATCCAGATCATCACGCTCATGGACCGGCTACTGCGCTTGGAGAACCTGGACCTCAAGCTCTCCCCCTACCGCATCCTGGCCACATCCACGACCGCCGGCGCCGTCCAGTTCGTCCCCAGCACCCCCCTCGCCGCCGCCGTCACGAAATACCGCGGCCAAGACAGCATCCTCTCGTACCTCCGCGCCAACAACCCCGACGACAGCTCCCCCCTCGGCGTGCGCAAGGAAGCCATGGACACGTACGTCAAGTCCTGCGCCGGCTACTGCGTCATCACCTACCTCCTCGGCGTCGGCGACCGCCACCTCGACAACCTCCTCCTCGCGCCCGACGGCCACTTCTTCCACGCCGACTTCGGCTACATCCTCGGCCGCGACCCCAAGCCCTTCGCCCCCCTCATGAAGCTCGACAACCTCATGATCGCCGGCATGGGCGGGCCCCTCCACCCCAACTTCACCGCCTTCAAAAACTACTGCTTCACCGCCTACACCACCCTCCGCAAGCAGAGCTCCCTCATCCTCAACCTCTTCAGCCTCATGCGCGACGCGAATATCCCCGACATCAAGATCGAGCGCGACAAGGCCGTCTGGAAGGTCCAGGAGCGCATGTGTCTCGACCTCTCCGAGGAGGAGGCCATTCGCCATTTTGAGGGCTTGATTTCGGATTCGTTGAATGCCGTCATGCCGCTCGTTATCGATAGGTTGCACGGGCTGGTGCAGAATTGGAGGGCGTGATGGGG